GTAAGGTTTAAAAGTAATAAATATTATTATTTTTTTTAAAAAAGATTTCTTTGTAGGTTGTCCAATTCCTCCCCATGTTTTTCCTCTTTACTGAGATGGCCTCTACGGGGATAACCTCCAGGGTGTTTTTGGTTCCAGTAAATTTCTGTACCTATCCCACACCGTGTATAATGATTTCTGTATTATATGATTTAGAAAACCCCTGTGTACTTTTACTTTTCCATCACCCAAATAGGCGTGCCACCCAAATCTGTTGTCCCATCCTTCCAGATCCAATAAATCAGTGTTCTGCAAGATCACCCACTCTTTCAGCCAGCAGAGGCAGGACACTTCAAAATAGAGCCTCAGGTCTGGTAACGCAAAACCCCCTCTATCTTTAATGTAAATTAGTTATTTGTGTTTAATTCGGGGTTTCTTCCTTTGCCAAATGAATTTCAATAACTCCCTCTGCCAATCCCTGAAGCATCCAGTCCCACCTATAATTGGAATAATCTGGAACAGAAACATCATTTTTGGAAGGAAATTCATTTTGATTGTTGAAACTCCCCCAAGAGGTTCTGCCTATTCCATATTTCCAAATCTTTTTTTATCTCTTTCCAGGTCCTGCTATAATTACGTATCATTAAATAAATTGATTTTTTTTGCTGTAATCCAAATTCCCAGGTCTTTAGCTTTTTTAGTTATTGTCAGACCAGACTTTTTTTTGTAATTCTTGTTTTTCTTGTTCTCTCATATTCTTTACCAACAATTTTGTTTTATCTTTGTTCAACTTAAATCCTGCCACCTGACCAAACTCCCTGCAGATCTTTCTTAGCATCCTGCTGGAGAAAAGCTGCAACATTTGAAGTCAGCTCACACTGTTCTTGCTAAGCTTAGTTTTCAGTGGTTCAGAGAATCTTGATGTCACAATCTTTCTATGCAACAATTGTGATGCCATCAAGGAGATCTCTCTTTCTAGATCAGCAACTCTTTTTCTTCAGTGCTTTTCAACAAGTTTCACTCTAGTAATATCAGGAAATATACACCAGGCACTTTAAGGCTGTGGCTATGTACTTTTTGGGTCCAGGGGTGCTTTTGGAATTTTGAGAAGGTGACAAGGGCACCACTCACAAAATGGCTGCCACCAGGGGTGTGGCCTGACCCAAAATGGCTGCAATCCCCAATAGAATAGAAATAGGAAAGAGAGAAGGAACACAACATGCTTCCCATGGGGAAAAAGCTATTCAATGATTATCGTTATTTTGTAACAAAAAAATGTTCTAAAAAGTGTTCTTCTTTTCCAGATGCTATCACATCATGGTTGTTATCAAGGGGGGCCCTTGCCGTTTCACTGCATGATGCAAAGTGCAGGGGGGTCACTCCAGCGGTGTGGACGGCAAGGGCAGGGGTGGGTGCTCCAGTGGGCTCTTGCACTCTCTGCACCCTGCCCCTGGGTGCGCCCACCTTCGCCTGACATGTGCATGTAGCCTTTTTAGGCCCTTTAAACCATGGGTAGGAAAAATGTTGCACCCGAGCTGGGACGAAAAGAGCCAAACGACACCAAGGGGGTTAAATCCAGAGAAAGAGCGTTTTATTCTGCCATCGGGGGGGGGGGGCAGAGGCACCTGTGGGATTCAGTTCACAAAAGACAGGCTGCAGTAAAAAGCATTTTACATCAGGTTTTTATCCTGTTCCCCAAACCCCTTCTTCCCTCTCCCCCTTCACAGATTTTACATAGAAATGTTTCTTTTCGTTCTCTGGCTCTGCTCCCGGAAGTATGTTGCAAGTCAATGTACCAGGACAAGGTTATCTTGGATCTGGGAAGCGAAAAGCTTTACTGTTCTCAGCTCTAGGTTTGTTACAGCGTTTTTCGTTACAGAGAGGACTGCTTAGCTAACGCTTTTTGTCTTAGAGGAAAATGCAGTTTTAAAATGCTTATGATGAGGCCTGGCGGGGGGGGGGATTCACAAACAGTTTTTAGGGCTTTTGGGGGGAACCCTAACTGTACCCCTTCATGCACACCCCCTGTGCTCGTGGCCGCCCTGGGTGCCAAGAATTCACGCTCCGCAGCTGGGAGGAAAGGTTGAAATCAGCACACACAAACCCATTTGCAACAATAGGAAAAGGTGATCATAATGACAATGAAAATGCCTCTGCAATGTCCCCAACAACAACTTTGGAACACCCAGGAAAAGAGTAATCATTATGATTGCCATCCTCATTTTAATCCCTCTGCACTGGACTCCCCCAACCCAAACAACTAGGCAGAGCCGTCTTTCCCATAGGGCTTAGTGGTGCATCGCGCCAGGGTGCCGGCCTCTCAGGGGCGCCCTAGCGAGTGGGGGAGCTGCGCAGCTTTGCCGGCGGCCTCCCCTTTCCCTGCACACCAACTATATGGCTGGCGGGCGTGCAGCTTCCTTCCCAAGCCTCCGCAGTAGAGCGATCCCCACAGAAGCTTAGGATGGAAGCTACACGCAGCTTCCCTTCCCAGCCTCTGCTAAAAACGGCCCTGCTCCCGGTCGTTGTGCTCCTCCTGCTTCCTGACAAAATGTGGCGTGCAACCTTCCCGGCCTGCCTTTTCGGGCGCCCTGATGCCGGAGAGCATGTCCGCCAGCACGTTTTCCTGCTTGATCGCCGCCACCACGCCAGGGATCGGGGTGGTGGGGGAGGCAGAGGACATTTTCTACAGCCCCCTCCCTTGTTTTGGAGTTGCCGGGGGGGAATCTTTGCACCACGGTGCCGGATATGCTTAAGACGGCCCTGCAACTAGGAATAAACCTTGCTGTTAGGCATACAGCAGAAACAAGAAAGGCTTGCCATATCCCACCCACCCCAATATTCCTCTGAGGCCCCTTTCAAGCAGCTGCTGGCTCCATCTGCCTACAGGCAGCAAAGCAAACAGAGCATTAATTGGAGGATTCCACACCCACATTTTCAAAACGTTTCTCAAGCAACAGCCTGCTGGCTGTGCCATGTGGGTAGCTGGCAGCAAAACGAGTAATGGGCAATTCCCACACTTCTTGCTCTCCTCCATCACGTACATTTCAAAACTTCTCTCCAGGCTCATCCACAATTCCCTTTGCTCTACATTTCTAGGCACAGCTCCAGGCTTCCCAGGTCATGTCTAAGCATTTTAATTTTGCCCCGTTGCTTTCCCCGTGAAAACCTGCTCTTTACTGCTAAATCAGAGCAAATGGCAGTCCGTTGAAAACACAGTTTATCATTAGTAGTAAAGATTGAGTTTTTCTGGAGAAAGCATTGGGGCAAAAAAGGGGGGGAAGCACTTGGCCAGGGACTGGGAAAGCGCAGACCTGTGCCTGGAAAGTGTGGGGGAAACAGTAAGTCCTCAGTTAGCGACCTCCGTATGGCTGGCAGACAGCAAAACAAAATAAATAGAACAACAGGTGGCTCAAATGACAAGAAAATAAGGCAGAATGCAGGAAACGAGCAGTGCAGGGGAGAGGGAAACAGCAGCTCCTTAGGACCCCAGGGATTTCTATTGCCTGCTGCCCATACACGGTGCCTAGCAGTCACAGCTCAATCTTCACACATTGTCCAGAAATACCGACAGGATGGGAGCAGCCCAGCCGGCTCATTGCAAATGTAAATTTTTATTAAGTTTCCAAAATTTCTCAAATTAGATAATTACATAACAACTTTGTTTCATAGATTAACTTCCTACCCACATGTCCACAGTGTTTTTCTTCAAACCCTTTTCTACTGCATTATATGGCAAACTCTTATCTATTACAAAAAACAAAACACCTTTAATACAATTGTTTTATCATTGTTCTTCCACCGCTCCTAGGTTGAATCCTGCCCATGATTTCATTTGGCTATAATGTTTTTCAAATAGTCCAAAAAAAGCCTCCAGTCTACTCTAAAAAGTTCATCATTTTGGTCTCTTAATTTTGCTGTCTGCTTTGCCATTTCCACATAGTCCATTACTTCTTCCCATTTCTGTGCATATAGTATTCCAGCTGCTGCTGTCACATACATAAATAATTTGGTCATCGTCTTCAGAATATGTGTCCCTATTATCCCTATAAGAAAGGCTTCAAGTCTTTTGGGAATAACCCACTTAAACACCTTCATTTCATTATATGCCTTCATTTCCCAAAAGCCTTTAGCCTTTTTGCATGTCCACCACATATGAAAGAATGACCCTTCTGTCTGTTTATACTTCCAACATTTACTTGATACATTTTTATACGTTTTGGCCATTTGTTTGACATTAGGTACCACCCACACATCATTTCCAAATAGTTTGGTTTTTTTTTAAAGTATAACAGGCAGTAAATTGCATGTCCTTTTCCGATAACTTCTCCCATGAAACCATATCAATATTATGATCTAAATCTTTAGCCCATTGTATCATTGTTGACTTATCTAATTCATCTTTGTTTTCCAATCTAATAACATTTATATATTTTAGAAATCAGTATTTCTTTACTCTCAAGCAGCCCCATTTCAAAGTCAGAGTTTCGTTCCACAAAACCATTTATCAAATCCTTCTTAAATAGCTCGTTTACTTGATGATATTGGTTGGCTCATTTCAAATAAATTGCTTAGAAGGGCATTTTCTAACAGTGATTCTTGGAGGACTAGAGACTTATTTATTTTAAAAAAACAAAACTCAGAGGCACCAATGAAGGCCATCACAGGTAGCATGGCATCACAGTCACAAGGTTGGTGACCCCCACTTCAAGGGCATTGGGAGCAGAGTGTGTCTCTTCTGAACAGTATTGATGCACTGGGCGCTTCCAGACTGCGGCTATTTGTGGGGCATGATTCAATCGAGTTTCCAGTTCATAAGTTTACTGTTCTAACTGTGATTCAGTTACATACAGGCAAATACAGGTTGTGCACTTAAAGGTGGTCCGGAGCTCTTGCACAACAACCAACCAGCTAAAGAAAAAGAGTCTGCATTTGACATCTTGTGCTTCGGCAAACTTTATTCATTTAATTAATTTATGAATTGCTTCCTATGCAGAAGGGATTTCACAATATAATAAAGACATGTCTAAAGCATTTGCATATACAGTATACAAATCATTAAAAACCATTACCTATATAAAAACAGTGTACTATATATTCAGAATATATATACTATATATTCAGTGTTGTTGAATGAGGAAAGTCTCCAACAGATGATGAGAAGACCCTAGAGATGGTGTCTCTTCAATATGTAACAGAAGGGGGTTTCAAAAAGTAGTCGCTGCCATACCAAAGGCACTATTCCAACAATGAGCAGAACAGACCTCCCGATAAAACAGTGTCTGCAGGACGCCGTCTCCTGCAGAGAGCAGCGATCAGTTAGGTGTACAGTGGTACCTCATGTTACATACGCTTCAGGTTACAGACTCCGTTAACCCAGAAATAGTGCTTCAGGTTAAGAACTTTGCTTCAGGATGAGAACAGAAATTGTGTTCCAGCGGCGCGGCGGCAGCAAGAGGCCCCATTAGCTAAAGTGGTGCTTCAGGTTAAGAACAGTTTCAGGTTAGGAATGCACCTCCGGAACAAATTAAGTACTTAACCCGAGGTACCACTGTATAAGGGAAGAGACTATCTTTTTGGTGTTCTGGTCCCATGCTGGTCCCCTGGTCCCAGGGCTTTTTGCATCAGTAGCTACCTTTGCATATCCATCATACTAAAAACTGAATTAGAAGATGGCGCTTGCTGCAACAGAACAGTGTCTGCTGGATATCTCTTAGAATAATACTACCTGATAAAGCACTGGTGGAAAATTCTGGCAAAAACAAAAAATCAAATAGAAATTGCTGCAGTTCACATGCTCATCTCTGGTCAGGGGAAAGATTTATACGATCTGAGGTGAAACCAGAGTATCTCTGGTCAGGGCATCTCTGGTCAGGGACATGAACAAGTAAGCAAATCCTTTTTGTATTTGTTCCCATCATTGTTCTTGTTTTTCAAGTTTGCAAATGAGGCATAATTAATGGATTTTAAAAAAACCTTCTTTTGCTGTTTCCTTCATACTGAAATGACATACTATTTAGCAGAAACCAAACACAGGTCAGAATGGAAGTTGCTGCCTCATTGCATCCCTAACTCACATCAGCCCAGCCAGCCAGGGTGGCTCCTCTTGACTGTCAATAGCTCTCTGGGGTCTTAGGCAGAGGAGACAGGTCTTTCCCACTGAAGGTGAGAAGCATAACTCTATGACTGAGCTAGAATGTAGCCTGGTCTGGAATAAGGCAGCTTCACATCTAGCTCAGTATTGTCTGTTATTCTAACTCAGGGTTGCCATATTTAATAAAGTAAAAACCAGGACACCCCAAAATTATTGAGCTTCTTTTAAGGAAACCACCAAAATTGTTGAGCCCAATGTTGTTTCGATTGACTTGCCTAAGATCCAGGAGAAAGCGCTGCCTTTCGGAAATCCCCCCCGGAAGTCAATTCCGCCCTTGAAATCCCAGTAACGTCCGGGAAGATCCAGGCCTATGGCAGCCCTGTTCTAACTGGCAGCAGCTGTCCAGGGCCTTCTGCTGAGGGCCTTTGTGCCACCTCTTACCTGATCCTTTTTTAAGCAGGAGATGCCAGAGACTGACCCTGGAACCCTTGCCTGGGCTCTGCTGCTGAGCTCTCAACCCTTCAGCTGTGGTCCCTCTGCTGCAGCTTGGCACATGCCTTTGGGCCTATCCACCAGAGGCAGAGATGGCCATAGCTGTCAACGTTTCCCTTTTCTTGCAAGGAATCCTATTTGGAATAAGGGAATTTCCCTTAAGAAAGGGAAACGTTGACAGCTATGGAGATGGCACAGAGATGGCCATACCAGTTGGGGCAGATAGGAGTTGTAGTCCAAAACAGGTGAAGGCCGCCAGGCTGGCCTAAACTCTCACTGGTGCCTTGTCTTCTTGCCGGAGGTGAGCAGGAGCAGTCCTGGTGGCCAAGGGACCCATGCAGGGCAGTGCAAGGGAAGCTGGACCTGCTTCCCTCTCCTTTTAAGGGCAGCTGTGACTGCTGGGGCAGATGTGACTTCACAGTCAGCCAAGTAATAATGGGGGTGAGCTACCAGTGCAGCAGGCAGCAGCCAACAGGGCTGCACAAAGGCAGCGGGAGAGCTGGGGAAGGCCCAGGCTTTAAAGAACAAGAGTGACTTGAGTATGTTGTGCTGTGCCTGCAGAGAGGAGGAGAGGCATGGAGCAGCCCTGGCTTAAGATGCTCTGCCCCTTTAAGAGCTGTGCGCCTCCAGAGGTAGGAATGGAAGTGATGGAGAGGGGTGGGATTGGCCTATGTGACAGGCAGCTGGAGGCAAGCTACAAGGGTGGGCGGATGTGTAGAAACCTCTGGTGTTTGGGAAGCTGCAAGGCAGTCCGCTGTGCAAACGGGGTAAGAGCCACAACCATTGCTCCTTCCACTTTCGGTCTCTCCTGCCCAACCTACCAACTGGCATGCAGCCCCTGGACTGCTGACTACAGGCAGCTTGCTTCAACAAGAATCAAGATACATTATATAAAAAAGACAAATCCCACATTCAACACAGCTGTTAATGAGAAAATCCTACATTTGTAGTAACACAATTAAGCAGCAAATCTCTAAAAACTAAAATAAAAACAAAAGTGAATTATTTGCAAAATGAAAATATATCAGAATGCAGCAGATATATATATATATATATATATATATATATATATATATATATGGACCACATGACTATTACAAAAAAGCGCCCCCAGATGTAATATTACAAATCAGGAATTAAGTGCCACCCTCACTCCTCCGACAATTACACTCCCCTTGCTTGCTTCCATCACATAGTACCATCCACTCAATTCTCACTTTGGCAAAACACTCAAAACATTCAACAACCCATCATCATGTCCAAATCCAGGTGAAAAGACAAAAAACCAACATCTCTCACTTGGGATAACACAAACACCTTTTCCCCATCTGTTATCAAGGGAGATTAAACCCTTCCCCACCAAGAGACCCTCACCCTGGGGGGTGGGCTTCAGGCCCAGCCACCAACGCCCTTGAGTCTTGACCCTCACAGAACAATAATGGCGGAAGAACAATAAACTGAAAAGGACAAATCGTAGCAGGGATAGGAACATTCTGCATACCATTTGGCTAGCAGTTACAGTGAGAACTTGGATGCACCACTGAGTTGGATGGCTTTAAAACAGGACTGGACAAATTCATGGAGGTTAAGGTCACAGGGACCACTAGCCAGGATGCCTCTGCTCTGCCTCCATGGTTGGAAGCAGAAATGCTTCTGAATACCAGTTGCTGGAAAGACGAAGGGAAAGTGCCCTTGTGCTCACGTCTGGCTGTGAAGGTTTCTCACAGGCAACTGACTGGCCACTATGAGAACGGGATGCCTGACTGAACCAGGCTCTCCTTGTGTCCTTAACTTGCTCTTTTACTTCTTTTGCTGACTTTCACCATTGCTATCACCAGTGCTTTTTTTCTGGGGGGATGCCAGGGTACGCATACCCCTAAACATTTTGTGAATCTAAGTTTGGCCTCATTGAGCGGCAGTTTTTCAATATGAGTGGGAAAATGAGAGTACCCCTAAACATTTTTTTAGGAAAAAAGCACTGGCTGCCACGGGCAAAAAGGACAATGTGAAAGCTACCTATTGCCACATTCTGAGCTGATTGACGTGTGTTCTGGTATTGTTTGGGGGGGGGACTGCTTGGCTCAGTGGTGGTCTGCTGGCTGAGCTCCTTTGGCTCACACCTCTGTGCAAGCAGGTCTCAGGTAATAAGTACCTGAAGGGTGGGAAGAGCAGAAACATCCCAGATGTTTCCTATCCAGCTCCACTCCACCAACCCCAGTTCCTTCCCACTCCCCACAGTTACCAATACCAGGAGGGGAAAATGTACAAAATGGTAATCACTTAGCAAATAAGCTATGTTTACAATTTAATTGATATGATTTATACTGATTGCAGGATTCAGTCTTTTCTCCAGGGCAGAATTCATGCAGCCTTGCTGAGAAATCTTCCTTGTCAACAGTTTGGATCCTTTTCTCTCTCGTGTTTTTCTCCAGGGACATCTGCTTTAGAGATGGCCTTGGGCCCCCTCATCTTCCTGGCTGTGCTAGCTCTAGTTCACCACCCCCTGATGGTCAGTGACCACACAGACTTGGCCACACTGGACCGGCTCCAGGAGCATGAGAAGCTGATGAAAACAGAAATGGGACGCCTGCAGACAGAATTTGACCAGAAGGGCTGGAGCTGGGACCCAAGGCAGAGCCGGGAGGATTGGGTGACAACCGATCCGGCAGCAGAGGATGGAACCTGGGATGGGTGGCACTACGTAGGGCTGGTCATTCTCATCCTGTTTGGGTGCTGCAGACACACCATAGAGAAGGAACCCAGTTATGACTCCAGCACAGACAGCTCCAGCACCACCACCAATGAAGAAGACTATGACGACACTGACATGGAACCCGAATATGACGAATCCAAGCAAAAAATGCTGGAGACCTTCTATGACCAGCATGTTGACCTGGAAACCAGTGATCTGACCAGCATGTGTGATTTTGTGGAGACCTTTGTGAATGACTTGCTGGAGGCTTGTCGCGGAGCCCTTCCCTACCAGAACACCCTCCCAGTGCTGGAGAATTGCATTGGGGTGGACAGTGCCTTTGAAGGATGGCACACACAGAAGCCTTCCAAAGCTTTCCGCGTTCTCGTGCCCGTACTGCCACCCAAGGGGCACTCTTTCCACATTGAAACTAGTGAATCTGAGGGTGCCCCAAGCACACATGGACACATCTTGGTGGAGACAGAATGTGTGTGCAAGAGAGAGAGGCTCCTGGGGGACGTGGTGTGTTTCCTTCACCATCCAGAGCAAGAACTGAGCAGTGACAAGCAGGGAATCTTCCTTATCCACGTTTTGTGCACCAGCTTCCACTTGGATGTGGAGAAAACCATCCACTGGTTCCAAGGCCTGGTGGGCAAGGCCTGGCCCAGTATGCAGCCCAAGTACAACCTTGACCTTGTGCTTCAGCCTTCTAATTCAACATGTCGACTGAACTTGGCATTCCGGTCAGGCAGGTCGATCTCTGTTGACATCATACTCGGGGTGCAGCAAGGAGACTCCTTGGTCTTCCTGGCCACCCAACCTGCCGAGATGGATCGTTTGACTGGCACTGTCTGGCAGAAGTCCTTTGCTGTCCAGGAGTTGCTCTTTTTTAAGTGGGTGAGCCAGCGAGTCCCAGAGGAGAGCTGCCACCTGAAATGTCTCCAGATCATAATCTATTTCAAAGAGTCCAGCCCATCGGAGGGGAAGAACATGGTGCTCACCAACTATCACTACAAGACTTGCCTGATGCATCTCTTGCTCTTTCAGCCCCCGTTGGACTGGGGCCCTGAGAGCTCTGCACGAAGACTTCAGGACATCCTCTTGTATATGCACACCGCCCTGCAGGAGATATATCTTCAGCATTTCCTTATTGGTAACATCTCCTTGCCTATCCAGATCCCTATGCCTAAGGCCCTCCGGAGTGCGACACCCGTAAATCTTTTCAGGCACTTGGCAGAGGACCCAAACCTTCATGCCAAGGCAATGAAGGAGTTTGCAGAGGTTGTACAACCAGTGAGGGCTCTGTTGACAGGGTACCGACAGTAGCAAAAGTCAGCTCTGTTAGAAAGACCAGCCTTTTGTGGCTCTTCATAGACCCACATACCCTAACAGGGTTGGAAAGGCAGAGGGCGGTGGCCAGCAATGAAACAAAGCTGGCTTAGATGTGTAGGAGCATCTCTGATCCTGGGATGGTGCCATGTGGGTATCTTCACAATGTTCCCATGCTCCAGATTGATCTGGTAAAAAGCAGGTGAGGCTGCAAAAGGACCCATCAAACCATGCTGGTTTACATTCTTAGTGCCAACTACTCTTCTGTATTTTTATATGCTCCAGTTCCAAAAGAATTTGCTATATTAATCTTGAAATAAAGGTTCCAGCAAACTGTGTTCTTAAATGCCTGCCAGGCCTCCAATGAAGCCACTGTGTTTCACTGCTTCTCTAGGTCTACCTTTAGAAAACCCATAAACTAACCACAGGCATCTGATGGCCACAGGGCTGCATTTGCAACTTCCCCAGCTGTTTCTTCAATGGAACATGAGATGGAAGGAGGGGTTACTAATCTGTCTTGGTCTGAAAACAAAAGAAGTGTGTCAATCCCTAACTATGGCAGCACTGCCACACTGTGTGCAGGGGCCGTATGCAACACACCTGGTGCCCATGGCAGAAAATCCAAAGAAATTGATTAACATGGGGCACAGCACGCCGTTTGAACAGGGGTGGGGATCTTCTGACCATCCATATACTGCTGGGCTCCCATCAGCCCCAACCAGCATGGCCAAGGGCTGATGGGAGTTGTAGTCCAGCAACACCTGGGGGACCACAGGCTTCCTACCACTGAGTTAGAAAGCTGTCCTGCACATGCCTCATTCAAATGAATGGGAACCACCAGAGCATTTTTTATTCTCTTCAAAATAAGAACTGCACAGTGTATCCCTGCAAAGGTTTCTAAGGACAGCAGTCTACCATGGATTCAAGGCTGGTTATGCCTGCAATTTTTGAACAGCAGCCACACAATGCCCTCTTCAGAATGCCATCCTATATTATTTTCCCTTTTAGTTTCTGTGGAAAATCTAGCAAAAAACAAAGACCTGTGGAAATGGTAGATGTGGATTAAATTGGGGGTGTGGTGGATACGAGGTGGCATTTGGATGAGGATGAGCAGAGGCAGTGAAAAGCTTGCATGCATGGAGAGCAGGGATTCCTAAATAAACTGTGCAGGAGCATCCAGGCACTTGTCCAGGCTTCATGTTTCCTTCAGAATGAGGCACAGCCAGTGCTTTTTTTCTGGGGGGACGCAGGGATATGCATACCCCCAAACATTTTGTGAAGCTAAGTATGGCCTCATTGCGAGGCAGTATTTCAATATGAGCAGGTAAATGAGAGTTCCCCAAAAAAATTATAGGAAAAAAGCACTGGGCCCAACGAAGGCTGAGGTGTCTTTAGGATTTATGGTTTATTTACAAATATATACCACCTAAGCCTACAAGGGGGCGCTGTGGGTAAAACCTCAGTGCCTAGGACTTGCCGATCATATGGTCAGCGGTTCGAATCCCCGCGGCGGGGTGAGCTCCCATCGTTCAGTCCCAGCTCCTGGCCACCTAGCAGTTCGAAAGCACCCCTGGGTGCAAGTAGATAAATAGGGACCGCTTTCTAGCCGGCTTGCCAGAGCAGCTTCGTCACGCTAGCCACGTGACCCGGAAGTGTCTCCGGACAGCGCTGGCCCCCGGCCTCTAAAGTGAGATGGGCGCACAACCCTAGAGTCGGACACGACTGGCCCGTACGGGCAGGGGTACCTTTACCTTTTTTAAGCCTACAATGGAGGAGTTCACAGCATTAGCACTCCAAGAGACCTTGCTTCTCCCATAGTTGCAATCTTCAAACAGAAATCAAGCATGGCTCTGTCTCTCTGGCTTCCCAGCCTGTCCCTTCCACTTCCAGCTTCTACCTCACATCACTCCACTTCACACTCTGCTCTTGCCTTTGCCTTTCTAAGTACCAGCGAGTTTGAGGGAGGCCAAACCCATTTTCTGTCTGATCCACTTCCTTTGTTCCTTTGATGGCCCATTACCTAGGACAGAGTTTCAAAGGGTGTGGCAGGAGAGGATGTCAAGTGTGGTGGGAAGATTGAAGGACAACCAAAGAAACATTTACGGTACACATTTCAGTATGGAATAGTATAGTATAGTATCAAAATATATGCTTTTATTTGCAGAATATGGATAAATATCTTCTCTAAATGAGACCAAAAGCATCAAGTGTGTGCGAATGACTCATGTTTTTATGTAGCTGCTTTGTTTTATACTTTATGGATGTCACTTGATCATATTATAAAGTAGTTGTATTCTATTTTAGAAACCAAACACAGCTAGGAAAGGTTTCTTTTTGTTTTGCAATGTATTTCTTATCAATAAAAAATTCAGTGTGGTGCTAGCAAATTTTTATTCTCAAACTATGCCCCAGAGGAAGACGTTTGAGAACCACCGACTTAGGCTGTCATCTCACCAGGAAGCTAGTCTGGCTATTTGAAACCTCACTTATATTTTATAAGGGTTAGAAGGGTTTCGGCACACATCCTACTCCCATCCCCCCAAGTTATAACAATCTCAATAGGTGCAGAGGCCTTGCAAGCAGTTTGAGGGTGGGCTACCTAAGCCAGCCAAGAATTGTGGAGCCCTGTGGGGCCCTGTCTTTTTGTAAACTGCTTTGAGATTTATTATTATTATTATTTACAACCAAGCAGTGGATGCATTTTATGAAATAGATAAAAGCGGCAACTCCATTTCAGATTAAAAGTGCAGCAGATTAAAAACAACACAATCCAAAACAAATTACTGTTAATTCTTTCCTTGTTATGAATGCACACAAGAAGGAATGCCTTTTTTTAAATAGTGCTTGCTGCTATGCTACACATCCATCACCTTTCTGCTTCAGAACTATTGCGTCACTCAGATATGCCAAATTAGGTATTTATGCATTTATGTCCCATCTTTCCTCCAAGGAGCTGAAGGTGCTGCACCAAGTTCTCCCAACAAACCTGTCAGGGAGGTTATTAAGGCTGAGATGTGACGGCTCACAATTACCAGTGAGTTTCATGGCAGAGCAGGGATTTGAACCCGGGTCCCCCAGGACCTAGCCCCAAATTCTAATCATTTATGCACTCTGGCCAAAGCCGTCTTTCCCATAGGGCTTAGTGGTTCGTTGCACCAGGGTGCCGGCCTCTCAGGGGTGCCCCAGCGAGTGGAGGAGCTGCGCGGATTTGCCGGCGGCCTCCCCTTTCCCTGCAAGTCCGCCAGCTACACCCTGCCAACCTTATGGCTGCCGGACGTGCAGCTTCCCTCCCAAGCCTCTGTGGGGATTGCTCTCCCGCAGCGGCATGGGGGAGAGTTGCGCCCCCTCCCCCAACAGCTGGCAGTGCACAGCTTCACCCCCCCCACTATCCGTGGTAATTTGGGGGTGCTGGGTGGATTTTTGCACCCCGGCGCCGCATCTGCTAAAGACGGCCCTGACTCTGGCTTAACTGATTCATTAATGTCTTAATTGGCTATGGCCCTAGAAGTGCAAGGAGCAAAAAGCATAGGGTAAGAAAAAGGAAATAATTTTTGATCCATTGTTTTTTCAACTACTCCCAACCTTTATCAAGGAAATCTACAAAATATTTATAATTACAAAATGGAATATATTGTTGTTATAAGAATTCTAAGGTCTCAAATATAAATTTAATGTTCTTAAATATACAAGGCAAACACATACATAAGTATATAAACCACGTCTCTGAAATAGTACAGGAGAGCAATCCTGAAACCATTTTGACTCTCCCAAATTGACCTCAAATATTTCTCTGCAAGGAGGAAGGAAATGGGAAAGCCTCCCCACTGTCTTGCTTACCTGTCTTTTGGGCATATTTGTGCATGAACAGGGTGAGCCTGTGACCTTGATTCAGGAACTAAAGTATTAACCATCACAAAAGAATGTCCAGGCTGCTCAGGTAATGCAATGTGACCATTGTCAGGCATCCTGGTAGGCGGGAGTTCTGCTGTAGACCGCCTCCTTCTGCGAAGCATGTATGATGTTTTAGGTGGGTGGTCTTGGGGGTGGGCAATTTCAAAAGTCTATATAAGGGCTTGTGCTCCATTGTTCAGGGTTCTCCTCCCTCCTGCGTGAGCACCCTGTTGCAACCGTTTAATAAAGATCAGGCGTACTAGGTGCTTTGCTTCTCAATATTCTCTGGTTGGCCTCTGTTATTTTCTCCTATCGATAGGGAATCCACCTAAGGACTCTACATGGGCTCTTGGGTACCTTAATAGGGAAAGGGAGCAGTTTTTTCTTATAACATTGTATAAAGAATTTACTCATAAACGATATATAAAAATCAGCTCTCATATATTATTATCATGAAAACAGGTATATACAACAACAACTATAGGTTGCTTATTCAGTTATCTCTTTAAAACTATGCATTAACAAATATTTGTTAAGATACACCTGCTGGTACACTCTCTCTCTTCCCCATCCCAACATATTTTCCAACTTTTATCATCTTTCTGGTGCTATGCATTTTAATACGAATTTTTTGCTGGTGACTTCTCCTAAGAATCCTGGAAATTGTAGCTTTTTGGTCTCTGTGAGGGGTAAACTACAATTCCCATGATTTTTTGGGGAAAATCAAATATTTAGATATTTGATGCGTATGCAGCCTACCTATTTGTTACACTTTTGCTATTTTTAATTATCTACAATGTATTTCATTTATCAAAAAAGGAATACCTACTGTAATCTGCATTTACTGTATTAAGAACAGTCCCATTTTTAAAATCACAATTGAGAGAAGTACGTATGAAACTCGGAAATGCCAGGAATAGACTCTCTATCCTTTTCACAACTCTGTTCTCTCTCGCTCCTCACACGTGGTACGCGTTTAGCCTCGCGTCGCCCGTTCACTGCGCGCTGACGTCACGCCCGCGCCACGCCTGCGCACTGTGTCGGCGCGGGTAAATTAAAAGCGGAGAAGCGGCGCTTGTGAGGGGAAAATGGTTGCCGGCTGGGAAGTGTGAGTCGGTGGCTGACTCCGCGCGGCGGGGGGAAGGTGAGTTAAGGGCAGCTAGGCGGGTAATTAAAGGTCGGCGTAAGGCAAAGCAGGCCGCGGCCGCCTCAAGCCTTGCCCCACCTTCGGAGGCGCCTTCGCGGGGGGGGGGGGGGCGGCGGGCGGGAAAGAGGCTCTGTAAGAAGCTGGTCGCTGATTGGCCGACACTGGAAAGGCTTGGCCAATAGGGAGCGGAGAAGTGCGCGACGGAGGACTTTTGAAAGGAGCGACGTTGATTGGCGGCGCAAGCGGCGCCCGAAGGCCGCTCATTGGTCGCCCCGCCGCGGGAACGAGAGCCGGAGCGGCGGGAGAAGAGATTCCCGGAGGCGCGGAGCTGCGCCTTCGCTTGGCGGGGACGCGCACGGGCCTCGCGCCGGCGGAATCGTGGCTGCTGGGCGCGCAATGAAGGGAGGCTGCCTGCCGCCCGTCTTCGTGATTTAATGCTCTGGCCTCGGCAGCTTCCAAGCAGCCTCTCTCAAACTTGGGTCCCCAAACGTTGCCGGGCTGCAACTCCCATCGCCCCTGACCACTGGTCCTGGGAGTGATGGGAGTTGTAGTCCACCAACAGCCCGGGACCCAAGTTTGAGAGAGGCTAGCTTGTGGTCACCTTTGTCTAGGGAAAATTGGGGGAGCGACTGGGAGCTCCCAGTTACTCTTGCTGCTGATGGATGGAGCATATAGATAGAGGTGAGCGGTCGGAAGAGTGTACTTGGGCTTTTGAAAAAGCTTTTGGCAAAGTGCCTTACCAAAGGCTGCTGAGAAATCTTGGCAGTCACAGAATAAGAGAGGTCCTGTTGTGGATCAGGAATTGGTTAAGTGCAGGAAGCAAATAGTCGGAATACATAGGCTGTTCTCCAAATAGAGGGATGTAGAAAGCGGAGATCCCCAAGGCTTGGTGCTGGGACCTGTGCTTCTTTACTTCATAAATGATGTAGAGTTTGGACTGATCAGTGAGGAGGCCAAGTTTCCTAGAATCATAGAATCATAGAGTTGGAAGAGACCACAAGGGCCATCGAGTCCAACCCCTGCCAAGTAGGAAACACCATCAGAGCACTCCTGACATATGGTTGTCAAGCCTCTGCTTAAAGACCTCCAAAGAAGGAGACTCCACCACACTCCTTGGCAGCAAATTCCACTGTCGAACAGCTCTTACTGTCAGGAAGTTCTTCCTAATGTTTAGGTGGAATCTTCTTTCTTGTAGTTTGGATCCATTGCTCCGTGTCCGCTTCTCTGGAGCAGCAGAAAACAACCTTTCTCCCTCCTCTATGTGACATCCTTTTATATATTTGAACATGGCTATCATATCACCCCTTAACCTCCTCTTCTCCAGGCTAAACATGCCCAGCTCTCTTAGCCGTTCCTCATAAGGCATCGTTTCCAGGCCTTTGACCATTTTGGTTGCCCTCCTCTGGACACGTTCGTTTGTGAATGACACTAAATTGTTTAGAGAGGTTAAATCAAAGAGATTGTAAAGACTTCCTGAAAGGACCTCTAAGCTGAGAGCAGTAAAAATAGGAAATGCAGTTCATTATAAAAAACCACAAGCTGCTGCATGTTGAAGCAAAAAATTAATTTCATGTACATGCTCATAGAGTCTGAAATGGAGGTGATGGACCAGGACTGAGACCTTCCATTGAGCTATCCACCATGACCCCAAGACGCTGGCCAGTGTGCAGCAGCAATAGAAAAGGCAAATTCCATTATTTACGTATTAAATTTGTCAGTCACTTTATCTTGCCTACAGAAACCTAAAGTAACCAAATAAAGATACAATAATTCCCACATAGATACATTAAAACCATTGCAACTGCCTGGCAGGCAAAAAGAGAAGAGTGTCTTCTTTTTTACGCCATCTGGTGGAAAGTCGAGGGGGAGGGGGCTAAATTGGCTGTGCCAGGCAAGGAGTTCTAAGCCTGGGTGCAGCCAGGGAGGGACACCGCCCCCCCCCTGAATTCCTACCAGCCATACCTCAAGTACAGAACATGGAAAAGACCCTTTTCCCTGAATCTAATTCAGTCGTACCTTGGAAGTTGAATGAATCCATTCCAGAAGTCAGTTCGACTTCCAAGATGTTTGAAGCCCCGTCACACGTTCAGCTTCCAAAAATAGTTTGACAACCGGAACAGTCACTGGGTTTGTGGCATTCAGAAGCCAAAACGTTCGAGAACTAAGCTGTTCAAAAACCAAGGTACAACTGTATGTGAGCCAAGTTTCATACTGGAGAAGATGGTATTTCAGGTATCCTGGCCCTAAAGTGTGAAAAAGAACCCCTTTCTTGCCCACATCATAGGCTCCAATGAGTTACTTTAGGGAACCTATTTCAGCCCAAGGACTCCTTTCTCTCAAGAGCAGCCTTCCAGTGATGGGCACAGGTGGGAGTCAAGAAGTAGGTGAGTCCAGAGAGGGGAAAGTGAGTGTAGCAATGTGACTATATCCTGTGCAGTAGGCTACACTCCAGCTACATAAAATCCAGAGGTTTGCGCAGAAACACATTTCTAGGCAGGCAAAACCACTCAAAGAGGGCATAGAGCAGGCGTGCTGAGGCATGAAAGACATTAAACCAGTACTTTTAATTGTGGTAAGAAATGAACTGGAAGCCAATGCAACTGTTGTTACCAAGGAATTGTAGATCTCATTAGCTGTTGTTTCCCTCCTAGCAACAATGAGTGCCTCAACGCCGCAGTCTGCTGGCTCTAAAGGAAATGCCTCTTTCGACAGTGTGTTTGTGTCCCCTGGCACTAGGCGGCAGCCTCTTAGTGCCTCAGGCACCCCTGTGCTGGAAAACTGCCCTGGGAATGATGATGAGCGAGAGAGGAAGCAGCGTCGGCGCTCCAGGGTGGTTGACTTGCAGTTTAGCACCGAGTCGCCTCTGTTTATAAAGTCCCCATCCAACAAGTAAGTGTGGTTTGCGCAAGCATTGATAGTGTGTGTGTGTGTGTGTGTGTGTGTGTGTGAGAGAGAGAGATTTATTGCTATACTACACTGCTTTGCTTATTGCTTTGTTTTAGGCAAGCAGAAACATCATTGCCAGCAATTCCACAACTGTCAAATGCCCAAATTGCAGATCATTATTCCACATGCATCAAACTTTCAACAGAAAATGTAAGTAAGTCTAGCATCATTAACTTCAAAGACACACCCTTATCAAGAGCTGCTCTGGCTACTACAGGCAGAACTGCTTGCATTCCATGATTTCATATAAATGTAAAATGCCTCTGAATCTAGATTTATACCTTCAGAATACTGACCATCTTTCCTCCTGCATAGCTTATTGTACTTATACATGTTAACTAGAAGGACAATTAATGATACAAATAAAGCAAGTTTTCATAAATTTCGTATCATTCAAGTGGATTGTAGAATTAGACCTTTCTTGGCACAGGATTTAGATGAACTTGTTGCAGATTCTAAGATTATTGTTTACTGTAGATTCTAGGATGAAGAATGTAGCTGTCAATAATGTCAACTTGCTGTTCCCTCTTCCAGAAAATCACCACGAAGAATGTATTTGGTTTGCACCTTATCGACTACATGACAGAAATACTCAGACAAAAGGACTCTGAACCCACCAACTTTAAGGTTAGAGGCCTTCCTCATGTGTTTCCTGTGACAGAGAATGTGCACAGAAAAGGTTGGGCTTGATCTGCATATCCACTTCTGGTAACTTTTGGAGAGTCTTGGGTTTCTTCCTACACTCTGCTTCTTTGAGGGTCATGTGTGAATGTATACGTTGAAATACTGCTATTCTTCCTAGTGTGGTCCATGCAGCAAATTTTAAAAATGCCCCCTCTGGAAAAGCTGGCTTACTGATCTACTGCAGAAAGTGAAAACTGTCTGCCACCGCATTCTACCTAGCAGTACCACACATTCATTTATGGAGGACTCAGGTTGGGTTTGCCAGACTTTGAAAGGCTATTTCCAGGTTGCCAAAAGCCATCGTGAGGGAAGATTGTTTTGACTGAGGAACAACCAGGCTGGAAAGGAATAGTTGCATATATTTAAATAATGGCTACTATTCCTGACAATTGGGCTAATCTAACCAACCTTAGTTTGTCTTCGTACCCTTTTCAGCCAGAGACAGAAGCCCAGAGTAGGAGGAGGGCAGGTGGAAAGTCTGGGAAGCAAGGCAAAGAAAAGGAAGGCTTTTCTTATCTTGTTGACAAGTAGTCTGTAGGTTCATAGTAGCCCACTCAAAGCTTAGTTCCACTCTCTTAACTTCTTTCTTAACATTCCCCCTTACAGGTAGCAGCTGGTACCCTGGATGCCAGTGCAAAGATCTATGCAGCAAAAGTTGATGCTGTCCATGCAGATGTTTACAGAGTTCTTGGAGGGCTGGGAAAACAGTCTGCTACTGCAGAGCCTGTGGATGGTCAGGATACAGGTGTGTTGCTTATCACGATGAGCTGAGCATGGGATTTGGAATAGCACGTGTGGGGAAGGCCCATAGCACAGCTGTAGGCAGTGATGTGGGGTGGGAAAAAATCTGTTTCATTAGTACCTATGAATGGATGTCAAACAAGATAAGGCAAGCTTGGAAGTTGCAAGTTCTAATTAATATATTTCAGATGATTATGAGTCAACATATGCAAAGTTATTTGGGTAACTGAAATCTGTTACTAGTTTTTAGTGTTTAAAGACAAAGAATAGTATGCGCTGTCTTAATGCTGTTTACCTGAAACAGTATTAAGGCAGTACATACTATTGCCTGTCTTTGGATTTTTACAATTATGTCAGTAAAAGATTATACATAATAAAATGTTAAACCACATTAAGTGTGCTTTAATTTCTCCCCTCAAATATATCTGGTCTAATACTTGTGCTGTGTTGAGACTAAAACATACCATTTTTTGTTGTTGCTTTACTAAAAAGAAGTAAACTAAACATGCTAAATTAGATTACTAACTGGGGCATCAGAAACTCTTACAATGGAAGCTAAAAATAGAATATTCTCTGAGAAAATTTCAATTTAAAATTTCCCAGATCCACATCACTATTTGTGAGACACACAGTCCCAGATCAGTTCTCAGCATCTCTAGTTTTTGTTTTTAAACGAGTGGGATTTGTCTTCAACCACACAAATGTCAACTTTTTATTGGTATCCACCATATAAACTGACATTCATCCTGGATAATTAATTTGTATCCCTTATGGTGTCTCCTTCCTGGGAATGCCTTCACAGCCTTGTGTCTCCAATACATCGCCTCTGGTTTTTTGTTTTATTTTGAATGGGAGGTTGAATAACATCCAACCCACCAAAGACTTTGTATTTGCAAGCAGCTCAACTTACCTGTGTCAGAAAATCCTTTCATACTTGTGTTCTCTTCCCTGCATTTGTCAGTAGGTACAGGTATAAATCTCACGTCATGAAAGTGACTTGCAATATTTTTTTGAGATAGTCAAAGCATAATTGAAGAGATGGGAAGATCCATTTGTGTAAAGGAACAGGAGAGATTATTTCTTTCTCACCTGTAAATGATGCAAGATAGCAGAACAGTTGGACTTTGTAACTGAGTAGCACTGGAAAGTACTTGCACCTGGATGATGATGATGATGATGATGATGACCTTGAGTTGTGACCTTTCTTGTAGGTGGAGGGGTTGTGGATTCTGAGAGTTCCAAAACACGTCTGAGCAAGAGGAAGCACCAGTACAAAACTATTGAACGGAATCTGAACAACATTAATATCTCCGATGAAGATCATAGGTGTGAGGTGAGAGAACCTGCTCCGAAGGACATTTCTCAAACACCCCCTTCCTAAAGTAGTTGGTTGACTATCTGCCTACAGCATCTGCTGGGAGAATAGTTGGAGACATTAGAGCAGAAATCTGGGTGGTGGAGGAACAGCATGTTCATCTTTGTTGGTCAGTTCATTACAACTATCCTGTGTTCCTGTTGGGATCCATCCTTTTCATAGAATCATAGAACTGTAGAGTTGGAAGTGGTCTAGAGGGTCATCTAGTCCAACCCCCTGCAATGCAGGAATTTTCGCCCCTTTAGGGAGTGAAATGTTGTTCCACTGTTCTAAGTCTGGCATACAGCTGCACACAATGTGTAGAGTATCTGACAGAGTGAGAAGTTAGTGCTTTCTTGTCCATGGGCAGAGCAAGTTCACAGTCTGGAGAGTGGAACTGGGTTGGTATCAAGGACCAGTAGCTTAAGCTCCCTTGACACACAGAAAGGAGCTGTGGGGCCAATGTCCGTGCATGAAGTCTGGATGTATGCAGGGGAAAGCCTGTCTATGGATATCTAAGCGCATAGACTTTCCACAGGAGCTGGAATCCTGCACCATTAGGTTCCAGCTAGTGTGGAAAGCATATAGAGTTTTATGTGTTCCCATGCAGCCTGTGATCTTAAGGTGACCTCAGACCATTTTCTACATGGGATGTGAAGGCTAGCATAACATGGTCAGCGGTGCCAACTTGAATAAAATATTTTGGGGGGGCAAGGAAGCCCTGCCCTGTATAATGGATCACATTACATGGTGCGTGGACACCATTTGAATCACAATGCCCGTCAAATTTGGGGTGTTCCGGCCCCCTCAAATATTTTATTGGGGAGGTGAAGACGGCTCAGCTCCTAGGAGTTGGCTCCTATGAATGTGGTTGTATGCTTTGTAAATTGTTGTAAACTGCCCTAAGACCTTAGGATGAAGGGCAAGTACCAAATTATTATTATTATTATTATTAATTACCAATTGAAGCTATAGATGAGAAATCTGTAGTTAAGGTGAGAAATCAGTTGAGTCCATTTTTAATTAATGGAGGTAAATCTTAATTTTTAGGGCTCAGCAAAGGATGCTTTTGTTTGTCCTTTGTTGTACTAGGAAGATAAAATATTTGAAGACCTAGTAAAGCATAGGACCTTTTTGTCTATAATGGTAGGTTCTTGCACTTCCTATAATATTTCAAAATGTGTTGCTGCATATTGAGATATATATTTTTGATCACTTAGGCAGTCAGTTGTATTGCTTAATCACTGAAGAGGCTTGATGTAAAAAATATCTTATGAGTAAAACCATGTGCCTTTTTGCTGTGGCGGGTGGAAGAGGGATGAGAAGTGAGAAGGGAATATGTGGTGGCTTCTGTTTCCTTCCCTTGATGTGTTTAGCTTTACATGACCTACTCCTGGGAACATGTTTGGGGACAGAGCCTGGAGCCTTTGCTACTGGTCCAAACAGTGAATGTTAAGCAGCATCTGCAAAGTTTCATTGAACTTGATCTTTGAACCTGAGCTCCTGTTATTTCCCCCCACCTCCACCCAACCAGGTTGATCCCATGTTCCAGAGAACAGCAGCCTCCTTTGATGAGTGCAGTACGGCTGGTGTTTTCCTCACTATGCTTCATGTACACAACTTTCTCAGTGAAGTTCTGTTTGATTCCATGGTCATCCCCCTGCCTTCTTCTACGACAGCCGAGCTGCCGACATCTTCTCATGTGAAAGTGACAGGCTTAAAGTGTAGGTGCTAACAGTTGCTAACTCTCTATCTTCTTCTAGGTGCAGTAATGTTTCATTTTGAGTAGGCTGAGAACCAAGCCAGGATAGGATAGGTGGGATCACACATATATTGAGACCTTTCCACTTTGCAGTGATAGAGGAGTCATGCTGCTTTGCCTCTGGAGGCAGAGCCAGTCTGAGTGTTCACAGGAGCTAAGCGTTACAAAGAAAGAGATGCCTGCAGGCTTGATACCACCTCTTCTTTCTACTTTGATTTGGTAGGGGGTGGGGAATGTTTGCTTCACTTAATGCCCTGGAGAAGAGATACCATGGGCCAGGCTCCAAAAATGAGCTTACCCTCAACAGAAGGCTCTCTTTTGTCCATCCCTTTGCAAGTATCAAAGAAGGAGCAGCTGTGGGTACAGCAGGTGCCTGTGTCCTTGAAGTCTGCAGGGAGTAGAAACTGAAGGAGTAGAGGGTTGGGGAGACATGGTACCAAGCCCCCTGACACCAGGGCCTCAGCCCAAGTTACCAGTAATCAAGGGTATAAATTACTATTAGTAGTACAAGGATTAGGGGCCTATCAAGATCACTCATGAGTTCTCTTTGTCCAGAGTTCTCATCTGTGGGGGAGCATGGTAGCATAAGGGGGGGTGCGGTTATGGCTTGGAATCTCCAACTCCTCTCTTCTTGTCTTCCTTTCTAGCCATCCTTCTGCAGTGTGCTGAAAAGCGCCCCATCTGCCCTTCATTGGCTGGCTTCTTATTTACCCAGTGGGACAGTGAAACCCATAATGAGGTATGTCAAGCTGGCCGCCACAGTGAATTAAGTGAACTGGTCACACAATGGGGGGATTTAAAGCTATTTCAGTTTCTAGCCCATAATTGCCTGCATTTCATGGTGGTTGTGTTTTTTTTAAAAAATGTTTCTGAAGCTTCATTGTCAGCCACTTGATCTTGCAGGCAGAGGTACCTATAGCCTCACAGTTTCACATTGCTATTACATTGAATAGGTGACATCTGGAATCTGATATTTACAGGATACCCTGAAAACATATATGCTTGGGTGCTTAGTATAAAAGCACCATATTTTAAAATGTTCTTCATATCTTCATGTTCACCATGTGGGCATGGTAGCTTTATGAATGCGATTAGTCATTTGCCTTATCTATATAGCTGGCCTACATATCTATATAGGTCAACTAACTTTTGTGTCAAATTGTGACAAATTTCTAGGCCACTGAGGAAGATCTTTTGGAGACTGAAGCGAGTTTTGTTTCTACTTCAGATTGATGTATAGGCATCATTTTGGGTGGATGAGATGTATATTGTATTTTAGTAATCTTATTTTTGTTGCCTATTCTTGTTTGTGGGATTAAAATGCATTTTGTTCTTGTATACATTTTAGCAGCTATTCATATATTCCCCCCTTTCTCTGTTGAAGTCACACAAATTATACACTAATTCTGTTGTCAGTTTTCTCTCTGCCTCCAAAAGGATTTTCCTTTTACATTTTCTTTTCTTTTCAGTCAGTGGCTGCTTTGTTGGATAAATTTAAGAAGAGTGACCAGGCATTTGATGTCAATGCAGAGATTGATAGTGACCCTGGAGAATATTCTGAGGACCCAGCAGAGAACGATTTTGATGCTGACATGCCGGCCGAGACGGTTGAGAAGGACCTTAGCGAGTTCTCCGAAAATTTGGAGTTATGTAGACAAACACCAGGAATGTTGAGGTATGTTGAGGAAGGTTTGTGTAGGAATCAGGCCTTTCGTGTGGTGGTGCCTACCCTCTGGAACTCCCATAAAATAGACATGGTCACTATTGTGTTTTAGCACCTGTTGAAGATCTCATTCTTTCAACAAACCTTCTAAATCCCCTTGAGTGTTAGAATTGGATTTGAAGTTTTGGAGAATTGTTTTATAATCCATACCACTGCTCCTTCAAGAAAATAATTCCCAGCCTTATGCCTCCAGTATATGTCCTCTGCTTTACTGGATGGAACGTTTCAGAAATCTCAACTCATCCAGTGAGGTTGAGAATGTCTCCCATTACCTGTTAAGTGATCCCTTATACAAGGCACACAAGTCTTGTAGCCTCCAATCTCTGTCAGGCAGACCCATTGTGATCTATGTATTGCTTGCAGGCAAAGATGTATTCATTGCCATCCAAATAGCCAGATTTACTCTGGCAACAAAGAAAATGAGCCAGGTTCCAAAAATGGGAGGGGGGGGCAGGGAGTGGGATTTGCTTTTGTCTTATTATATTTTAACACTTTTATAGTTTATTGTAGAGGGGTAATGTGGGATTTACATTGGGTGTGTGTTGTTCTGTTGTACAGTGGTGTCTCGCAAGACGAAATTAATCCGTTCCGCGAGAGTCTTCGTCTAGCGGTTTTTTCGTCTTGCGAAGCAAGCCCATTGACGGATTAGCGCTATTAGCGCTATTAGCGCTATTAGCGGCTATTAAAGGCTTAAAGGCTTAGGGGATTAGCTGCTAAAAGGCTATTAAAGGCTATTAAAGGCTTAGCAGATTAGATAAAGGGGGGGGAAAGCGAAAAAAAAAATTCAAGACTCGCAAGACATTTTCGTCTTGCGAAGCAAGCCCATAGGGGAATTCGTCCTGCGAAGCAACTCCAAAACGGAAAACCCTTTCGTCTAGCGGTTTTTCCGTCTTGCGAGGCATTCGTCTTGCGGGGCACCACTGTATATATGTGTCTGCTGAACTGAAATGCCTGTTTTGTTTGTATTGTTTTGGCCTATGGCTTTCTTGTTTACATTCGGTTAAGAGTGGATTTCAAAGGTTTATAAAACTATGTATTATATGTTTTACTCTGAATGTTTTTCTTCATTGTGAAATCACTTCAGGATGCTTCACAGGCAACAATTCATAAAAATAATTAAAATGGTGGGGAGAATTTTTTAAAAAAAACCTTTGAGGAAGCTTTACAAATAGAATAAAATCCTGGTGAGAATGAATAAAACTGGTGACTTTTATAATCAGGCGTGTGTATGTACTTCTTCCAGAAAAGAAGTGGTTCCCCTGGGGGAAGGAGATGTCAGGTCCATGTCGCTTCATTTGTCCCTGAAGCCCAGCGAATATTCTTACTTCAGCCCCCGAACCATGTCCATGTGGGCAGGCCCAGAGCACTGGCGGTTCAAGCCTCACCATAAAGGTAAGGCTGTGAAGGGAGTCGTGGGAGTTCATTCCCTGGCTTTCTTCTTGCATATTGACCTACAGCTTTATAGGTCCTGTGTAGAATTTGGAAATGCAAGTCTTCTCAGAACATGAAATCCACAGTTCATGCCTCTTCGGATGTGACTCAGTCAAAGCAAAGCATTGTCAAAGCTTATCCTGACCCTCGAATTAGGTTTGAGAGTTCCAAGGTGAGGTGGTATGTAGTAGAGATTGCCGAAAGACAACTGAGGCGATATTCAACATTTTAGGAAGTGCACTCTGAAACAAGCAGCAGCACCAAATAATAAACTCTTGTTAACCTTCTGTAGCAGATCCAGCAACATCTTCCACTCAGTTGCTTCTACTCACTCTTCACAGGTGATGCCAACCCTGAGAAAGCAAACAAAAGAAAGGCTGCAAAAAAAGTATTTGAGATAAACTTTGAAGATGAGATTGATTTTGAGCCTTACTTCCGCAAAACAAGGGTATGTTTTAAACTCTTGATGGGGCGTGTATGTGGGTGGTTGTTACACAAGATATTACTAGCTTTAAAAGCAGTTTTAAAAATATTTTATACAATAAAGGATAGGTCTTGTCAACTGCTGTTACCCATTACAACTTTGGAGAATTCCCATGTTAGGAGAAGACAAGCCTTTGAATACAACATGTTGAGGACAGTCAGCAGTAGGAGACGGCAACTAGAGCAATGTTGGTGGAAAACTCTAAATGAGTCTGACAGAACACGGGATAGAACCTCTTTGAAGACCTACTCTGTGGCAGTGCAGGCAGTGAAAAAGTATTTTTCTCTCTCTGCCTCCATTGCATCAGCAAGGAACTGTTCAGTGGAGCTGTTTCAAGTGGTCAGGGGTCTTTTACAAAGGCCCATGTCATAATTTAGACCACTTGACAGCTCTCTGTGAACAAGTTGCTCAGCACTTTGCTGACTAAATCGCTCAAATCTGTTCTGACTTGGACACTAGTAGATACAGGTCCAGTGGGTGTAACTTTGGCCTCTGCTTATCCCGTGTTAATGGATACTTTTCAGTTTATGTAGCCTGAGGATGTAGACAAGGATCCTTGAAAATGTGAGAGCTACTGCATCTATTCTGGATTCTTGCCCTTCCTGACTCATCAAAAAGGCCAGTGGGGGACTGGCTGGAAGGGTAGAGGGAGTGGTCAATGCCTTCTTACAACAAGGCTGCATTCCAGCACACCTAAAGGAGACAGTTATAAGACCTCTGTTGAAAAAGCCCTCCCTCAATCCCACCATATTGGATAATCATTGGCCAGTCTCCAAAATACCATTTAATACCATTTGGGTACCATTTGGGGGCAAGGTACTGAAGTGTCTGATGGCTTCTCAGCTCTTGGGGGTTTCTGGAAAAGACTATCTAGATCCATTTTAGTTTGGTTTCAGGCCTGGTTATGGGTCAGAGACTGCTTTGGTCTCCTTGGTGACTTCTATATGCCAGGAACTGGACCGGAGGAGTTCTGGACCTCTTGGTGGTTCTTGTACCATCAACCATGATATCCTTCTGGACCACCTTGCTGGGATAGAACTTGGAGGCACTGTTTTACAGTGACTCTGTTCCTTCCTGGAGGGGGTGAACCCAGAAGGTGGTACTGGGGAACTTCTGTTTGACACCTTGGCCATTGGCCTGTAGAGCCCCTGAGAATCCTGTTCTGTCCTCTGTGCTATTTAACACTTAGGTGAAACCTCTGGGAAAGTTTGTCCAGAGTTTTGGGGTTTGGTGCTGATGACACCCAGCTCTTATTTCTCCTTTCCACCTAAATCCAAAGAAGCTGTCTTGGTTCTAAACCAGTGTTTTGGAAAGTGTGGCTCTGGGTGACAGCGTGTGAAAATTTCCATTATAAATTAAGAACTTGTAGCATAGCATATAAGCAGCCTTGACTTGATTAGTGTATAATAATTATGCATTCTTTTTTATATAATCGAAGTAGGTCTAAAATTCAAGCCAGTTGAATCAATGCAGGGACTGCACTTTTGAGGAAATATCTCCAGATTACTTTTCCTACCTTTTGCAACATTTGTTCTTACCTTCTTAGCTCACAGACTATTGATGTGTTGCCCTATACCATTGATTCCCAAACTGCAGTGCTAAGGTACTACAGGAGGTGCTGAAGTGTGTATTGATAAACGAAAGCATATTCAAATCAGATTTGATTCCAGTGAAGTATAAACTTCAGGTTTAGAAAGGTGATATTTGGAGGGGAGTGCTTGATTTTTCTGTGGGCTTCTGCTTTTCTCAAACAGGCAGCTACTACTCTGTCCAAGTCAACCCTTGAAAGTCAAAACAAGAAAAGCAAAACTCTTCCTGCAGATTTCCGCTATGATCCAGACAACCTCACCCGCCTCTTCCTTAAGCCAGCCAATAGGGTAAGCTTTCTCAATTCCATGCAACACTCCTGCCTTGCCTCCCCGTGTCATTACAGTGGTACCTCTGGTTATGTACTTAATTCGTTCCGGAGGTCCGTTCTTAACCTGAAACTGTTCTTAACCTGAAGCACCACTTTAGCAAATGGGGCCTCCCGCTGCTGCCGTGCTGCTGCTGCACGATTTCTGTTCTCATCCTGAAGCAAAGTTCTTAATCCGAGGTAATATTTCTGGGTTAACGGAGTCTGTAACCTGAAGTGTATGTAACTCGAGGTACCACTGTACTGCAGTTTCAGCTTGGTTTGGTTATCAGTTGGCTGCTCTGGGCAGAAGGGCATGCTGAAGCAATTTCTGGAGTGAGTGTGTTTTAGTTTAATGATCTTTCCCATTAGTGACTGATGTCCTAAGTCACCCAAGTCTTTGGTTTCTGCAGCTGTCGAAGGTGCCACTGCAGGGTGACTCGTCCAGTCACGACAGTGAGGTTGAAGAGTATGATTACAACAACCCCAATGACACCTCCAATTTCTGTCCTGCATTGCAGGTAAGCTGCAAAGATCACTACTGTGGGTTGCATCCTTTCTTATATGAAGGTTATAGAAGCTGGCTGCCAATCTGGGCAGAGAGGTTTGGCAGCCTTCCTATTGGTTAACAACCTCGGTGGCTTTTGTCAGTCCTGCCTCAGTGCAACATTATCTGAAGGACCTCAAAAGGCGCTCTAACAACTGAGGGACCCTAACTAGAATAAGGAATAATCCCACATTGTCTGGTTCTCAGAAGGGGGATAATATTTTGCAACCATGGCACAGGCAGCTTCTCTAAGAGGTGTGCAAAAAAGAAGCAACAACAGACAACTTAAATATAAATATAAACTTAAATATAAAATGTTAAATATAAAATGTAAAAATGTTACATTAAACAAAGTTACATACCCCCCCAATATCATTTTTCTTCTGACACACCCTCCCTCTCAGCCTCTGGGTTCTCTCCCAGGGTCCAAACAAACTCTCAGCTCACTCACAAAAGTCTTAAACAAAAGAAATTCCTGGAAACCGTGGTCATTACCTTACTTTGAACAGCCTTGGCTTCCCCCAATAATCCTGGGGACTTCAGCTTAAGTGTTCTGAGAGTTATGAGCAGACCCTGTTTCCCTCACAGAGATACAATTTCTAGATTGGTTTAACAATTAGTCCCTTTTCCCAGGAAACTTTGGGAATTGTAGCTCTCTGAGGGGACTATGGGTGTTCTATCAGTTCCTGGTACCTTTAAACTACAGTTCCCAGTATTCTTTGGGAGAAGCCATAACTATTAAAGTGATATAAGATTTTATTTATCTAAATCGAACTCGAAGGGACGCGGGTGGTGCTGTGGTCTAAACCACAGAGCCTAGGGCTTGCCGATCAGAAGGTCGGCAGTTCGAATCCCTGCGGCAGGGTGAGCTTCTGTTGTTCGGTCACAGCCCCTGCCCACCTAGAAGTTCGAAAGCACGTCAAGTGCAAGTAGATAAATAGGTACAGCTCTGGTGGGAAGGTGAACCATGTTTCCGTGCGCTGCTCTGGTTCGCCAGAAGCGGCTTAGTCATGCTGGCCACATGACCCAGAAGCTGTCGGCGGACAAAGTCGGTTCCCTCGACCTATAGAGCAAGGTGAGTGCTGCAACCCCAGAGTCGTCCACAACTGGACCTAATGGTCAAAGATATCTTTACCTTTTAAAATCCAACTCAGAGTAGACACATGGAGATGAACAGGCTGGAATTAGTCGTGGTCATGAACTTTAGTGAGTCTGCTCTGAGTTGGACTAGGATTGAAATTGAATACCATCTCTTGTGCTTTAGATGTTTGGGGTTGTGTTAAACTGACTTAGGTCTATTAATTTCACTGGGTAAATGTTACTAGAATACAATTAGTAACTGTATTCTGTATGTGACCTGAATGGGTCCTTTTATGCCTTAGCATAAAGAGTTCCTTTTATGCCTTAGCATAAAGATGAAATCCTTGAAGATAGATTAGTTTTAGAGAGGGGTGGGGAATCTGAGTTCAAAAAGTTGGAGCAACTCTGCAGAAAAAGTTGGGGGGAGAGGGAATGTTGCTTGAATGTGTGGGTGAGGGGCGTTGCGTGTTTCCTGGCTCTCCATCTTAACTCTGACCCTGTTTGGCTTCCCTCCCTGTCCTTTTTTTCTACTCAGGATGGTGACGGTGACGGTGATGATGACGATGACGTTCCTGTGGACTTCATGGGCCAGAATGGGATGTTTGAAATGACAGCCTATCCTGCAGGAGAGGCAGGCCAGGAGAGAGAGCTCAATGGAGGCCTCAATGGGAACAATATCACCACCTATGGGGAATTGAACCTGGTGGCTGAGCCACAGAAGGCAAGTACTGGTGTAGGATGCATGGCCTGCAAAGCAGCTCCTTTCTTTCAGGCTTATGTCTGTTGTGCGCTACCAGGGGGGCTGGTACACATTTCACAGGTGGCACTGGAACCTGGGTGTCTGTCTGTGGCTCATGCTACGCTACAGTTTCATTCGGCTGCTCCAGGCTTTTGTGACACTTGCTGTGCTCTTTCTCTGCCGCCCATTGCATAAGGCAGGGCTGGGGAGCCTCATGCTTGGGACCTGGCTGCAGCCCTCCAGGGATTTAGCTGGCCCTCAGGACTCTTTCCCAGGCCACAGCCCTCGCAGGGCTTGCTTTACACCCACCTTGGTTGTCTTTGCCCGCCTGGAATGTGTCCTTGACCTCTGATAATCCTCCTTGTCTGCCTGGTTGGAGGATAGAGGGTGTGTGGGTGTGGGTGGGTGGTTGTTTAGAAATTAGGCTACTGCCCAAAGATAAAACTTACATTCATTGCTCCACCATCTTTTACTCTGCCTACACCTACCACCACATGTGGCCTCTGGAAGGGAGTGTGGCCCTCTGGATTGAAACACCTCCCCACCCCTGGCATAGAAGGTAGTCTTGTGCCTAGATGGATCTGTTTTCTGCACGGTTCAGAGTCCTTGTGTTATGGTGGGGGTGAGGGTATATGCTTGCCAATTCCTGGTGAAGCTAGGAGGATGGAAATTTAGTTCTTTCTCCTATTGGCTGGGCTAAGAGGTAGTTGGTATTTTCGGTGCCAAGAAGAGCTACGTGTTTATTCAAAATAAAAATGACGGTCACTAGCTTCCTCTGCTTCTGTGCTTTTTCTTATTGAACTCTTGGGTTTATTTAGTTTAAATAGCAAGCCCAAGGGCATAGGGAGTAGCTTGTGCCTTGATGCCATAAGGGGCAGGGTTGAAGATTTGTCTTTCTGTTTACTGATGCCTTCTAACTGGATGGTCTTTGGCTAGCTCTGTTTCCCTTTCTCTGCTCTTCTAGGTGAACAAGATTGATATTCAGTATGCAAAGACTGCCAAAAAGATGGACATGAAGAGGCTAAAGCAGGGCATGTGGCTGCTCCTGACTGATGCCCAGACAAATCAAACTGAGCAAGAGGTATGCAGCCCCGGGAAACCCTGAATGCCTCTGCTGCTCTTACCCAGTGATGCCTTGGCCCACTCACCATCCCAGACAGACAGGCTCTCATTCTGTTTTTATCTCAACCAGCTTTGGTGGCACTCTTAATGTCACCTGGAGCCATTTGCTTCCTTGGTTCAGCAGTACCAGCAGAAAACTGGAATTCAGGGCTGTGTGAACTCTGGACTTAAAGGCTGAATTCTGTAATCTATTTTAAAAATATCTAATTGGCTTCGCTAATCACAGGGAGGACCACAGTGCTATGCAGGGTACTAGAAATCTTACTCACCCCTCCTCCCACCCCCTAGTTCTGGCTCAGGCATGTCTTTGTAAACATAGGGATTAGAGACTTGCTGTTTTACAAAGCCAAAATTCTCATAAAGCTGAATTCTGAACTGTATGTAACTGCAGTACACCCAGGATTGCACACCTATGGCTGTATTTCATTTAATGCTGCTTTCTGCCTTTGCATTTTCCTGCAGTTGGCACACACCCTGATTTTAGGCAGAGAATCTGTCATAGCAGTAATATAATACTTAATATTTATATAGTACTTGCAGGTGTTCAAGTTGTAATCCTTCCAACAACCTTCTGAGGTAGGTAATATTAAAAGCACTGGACACATGGTACAGAAGTTTAAAACATGACAGGATCTGCTTCACAGGCTTTCAGTTTGTTTACTAGGTGACCTTTTAAGATTTCAAACTTACTTACACAGAATGAAGTCATGGAGAAAGATGCTAACTCTTCAGTCGTATCTGGTCAGAAGGTCTTCAGCAGCGTTATCAAGGATCTGTGTCACAGGTACTTCAGGTCACCAGGACTTTGTCTAGGATGCCAGGAAAAGAGACACATTTACACCCCAATCCTTTGGCTGAAGCATTGGAGCCAACCACCACAGGGGTCCATTTAAAGTGTGCTTCATATGTTGGCATTGGCCCCCAAGTTGCTGAATGTTTCTTCAATTAGTCATCAAATTTTCCTGTTTGCAAAAATAAAATAAAATAAAAATCAACCTTGAGTCACTGACATGATTGTGCTCTGCAAGTGGAATGTTGGTTGTAGAATTTAAAATCTTTTTAGAACCATGCTGTACATTCTTGCTGTGTAGCTGAGAGGATGAATTCAAAAGAAGGCATAGACTGGGATGCAGCAGGTCTTCCTGTTTTATCCCATTGCAAAATAACCCAGCTGTAAGCAGCTGTCTTGCTGGCAACCTGCTAAGGCAGTCAAGTCATAACTAGTACTGACCTAGCCTTCCACCAGAACACTAGAAGTGCAAAGTACTCTTAATAGTATGCATGTTTACCAGTTGTATTCCTAGAAGGTATGTTTAAGATTGCAGCCCAGGGGTGCACACATTTCTTTTGCTCCACTGTTGCTACTGGTCAAACAGGTTTGGTAGGTTTCTGAACAAATAGCTGCCAGATCGGTTTAGTAGGGGTAAAGTGAGTTTGTGCAATGCAAGATGTGAGCTCTCTTATTAACAAAAGCCACATTCACTCAACCCTATAAGTCATAAACCACGGTTTACTGTAAATGTTTTGGATGTGCTCCTATTTTGATCCTCAGGCCACAGCCTGAGCATCAGTTTACATGTCATGCTTAGCCAAGGCTCATGGTTTGTTGCTGCTGGCCTGACAAAGAGGGAAAAGCAGGGAGTGTTATTTAGCAGCATGTAATGCTTGTTCAATGGTAGTTCATGGTTTGTGGCTTAATGTGATCATGCCCAAAGTATTTGATCTACTTCTCAACTTGATTTTTGTCTTTCACAGACTGCCTTCCACGATGGCAAAGAACTTGTCTGCGCCACTGGCATTTGCTTGCCTCCTGCATCTGGCGAATGAAAAGGTACGTGATAAAGGCAGGAACTTGAATAACATCAAGGACAAGTTGGAGAGAAGGGGCTCTTTCTTGCCTACACAGGCAATGCAGTGATACACATTTTGGCCTTGGCAAACAAGTCCATGATATCTTCTTTTCCGCACTGGCTGCATATGTGGAAATTTCAAAGCTTGATATGTATTTTGATCCCTGTTTCCCCTTTGTCTCCAGAACCTGAAGCTAGAAGGTGTGGAAGACTTGTCTGAAGTCTTAGTGCTGCAAGGAGATTAATGTGTGCCACTGGGGCAGAATAAGAAAATCTTGGAAAACCTAGGATGGAATTTATCACACACACACACACACACACACACACACATGATCCTCATAGACTGAGGAGGCCAAAAGCAGCATCAGTACATGCTCTTGATTAAACAGTTTGTGATTCCAAGACTTGAAACCATGGGAAGTCAGGAAAAGAGTGCCATTAGTGTTTTAATTCTCTTCTGAATTCTGCAAATTCCCTCTCCCACTGTCTGATTGTGATCACAGCTAAGAATTGCTAGATGTATTCAGTTTGCTTTATTTTAACATGAGTATTTAATTCCTGTACATATAAAAACTCTCCTGTATGTCTTTTTTGCTCTCTTCTTATAACCTCCTTTATCATTGAATATGAATGTACTGATATATTTGTACAAATGTGTGTTTTTTGTAAGTAATAAACAATGTGACCCTCCACATCATTTTGGAATTTTATTTGTGTGTGAGAAAACTGTGTAACTGGTGAACAGGCTAACACGAGTATCTGGACTCAATAGCACCAGGCCTATGCAGGAAAGTAAAAGTACATTCTCCACAACGGTCTATTTATGTTTGTTGTTAATTTCTTTTTTCTTCTAACTTGTTTTAAAAATCTTTTTCATAACAACAACAACAATAATAAAATTTTATTTATACCAGGGCGGCTAACACCAATAAAATTACAATAAAACATAATGGGAGGGGGGACAAACAAAAAACCGGTTTATTAAAATACGGGTTAAAATACAATTTAAAATGCAGCCTCATTTTAATAGTAGTCCATAAATCAAAACCACAAGGGGAGGGAAACAAAAGGGTCAGACTGAGTCCAAGCCAAAGGCCCTGTGGAAAGTCCTGCAGGGTCCTAGTCTCTTGTGACAGAGCGTTCCACCAAGTCGGGGCCAGTACTGAAAAGGCCCTGGCCCTAGTTGAAACCAATCTAACCATCTTGTGGCTCGGGACCTCCAAAGTGGTGTTATTTGTGGACCTTAAGGTCCTTCGCGGGGCAGACCAGGAGAGGCAGTCCACCTATACACATTGCGGTGAATCTCAAGCATTATCTGGTTCTTTTGAAGAACTTGGCATGACCTTATTTCATCCGTGACTCGTCTTGGCAAATTGCTAACATAGCTATGCCTTATCCTTTTAACCCTTTGAGAATTTGTCGAGGGAGGGCAGATATCCAAGTTTTCTTCTACGTTAACTATTTTACAAGAATTTCATTCAGTCTTTGGAGAACTAAGACCATAGTTTCTGCAGACATCATGCAAATTTCTTGGTAAGGGTGCATGTTTGGAATCTGCTGACCATAAGCTCTTTTACTGTCTTGTTCCAAAGACATGGGTGGGTCAGCGTTTGGAATAGGGGAAGCCCCTCCTGCTCCTGTCCTCTGGGTCAGATAATCTCCTTCACTCCTTGAAAGGAGAGGAGTCAGGTCTTCTCCTTCCTTTTGTGAAGGGGGGTGTGTGTGTTCTCCCGACATCATTACTCACAATTTGCTCTCTTTCCGAGCTAGGAGTGGTGGTATTAGCTTTCCACCGCTTCTTTGGTTTAGAGGATTTAAGAGTCCCAATTAGAAGAAGAAGAGTTTGGACTTGATATCCCACCTTTCACTCCCTTTAAGGAGTCTCCAAGCGGCTAACATTCTCCTTTCCCTTCCTCCCCCACAACAAACACTCTGTGAGGTGAGTGGGGCTGAGAGACTTCAGAGAAGTGTGACTGGCCCAAAGTCACCCAGCAGCTGCAGGTGGAGGAGTGGAGACGCGAACCTGGTTCCCCACATTATGAGACTACTGCTCTTAACCACTACACCACACTGGCTCTCCATTATTATGCTGTTTTGGCTCTTCTTACCTCATTTTTTTCCTTCTGATAGGCATTCTGATATGTAAGCAGAGTTCTATCAAGCCAAAACCAGATCTTTTTAGCCAGTAGATGAAGCAATGGACGAAACTGCAGGTTAGTCACATGGACTACAGTCAATCTTCACTGGGTGTTCATTGTTACGCTAAGTCGAATAGAGCCAATAAAACAGTACCCATAAACTAAAAACAAAGGAAGACAAAAAGATAAGGCAACTATAAGGCAGCTAATAAAACAATTAAAATGTGAACTTAGGATCAAAAGGTGACTAAAAACAACTTAAAAGCTTAATGGAAGGCGGGAGGCTCTGACTAGGCTGCTACCTCCACCGCCATTTTGGAATGTTTTGTTTTTAACCTTTTATGGTGTTATTGATTGGCTTTGTTTTTCTATCATTGTAAACCATTGCGATCTATTTCTTTGATAGAGTGGTATATAACTATTTTTATAACTCAGTAGATAAATGGACTTCTCTGTTTCACTTGGACCTTATTTTTCTAGTGTGCAGTTTCACTTTTGCTCTGGCTAATGCCCTTCTGTTTCACAGGAATGCCTATCTAATCACATTATGCCTGTTCACACACTCTTGCTTCGTTACTCAATCGGCAAAGCACGCTTCTGCTTTATCTGGATGTTTCATGTTATGTCAACATGGTTTGTGCCAGCCTCTATATATGTAGAAACAAGGGCGGAAATGGACCAAAGCATGTGAGTTTAAGGACATTTTCCACTCATCTTGGCACCAGGCTACATTTCTAATGCAATACTGAGAACTGAGAAGGTTCATGTGATTGTTCTACTGTCCCCATAGATCTCAATGATCTCATTTTAATGGCTTTCTCATTATTGCTCTATTTAACTTGGCACGGCACCTTATAAACTTTTTACAATCTTGGATGACTCATGTTGCTTCAGAGTTGGAAGCACGCATGGCAAATTCCACTGACTTCCAAAAGGCATTACTGTGATTACCACAATCACTGAATTTATTAGGCAGGGAAATTTAAGTGGCAACATAAGGTGAGGGGAGATTTCTTTTAAATAAAGGTGCACATATTCTTTGGAGAGTATGGGACCATCAACCCTTTGCATTTTATGCTCTTAAGGAAAGTTGTTGCCTGTGAAGAATGTTATGCTATTGGGTTTTTCCAGATTCCTCCTTGCCCTTGGGTACCCAAGATGGGGAAACCAAATATGTCCCTTTCCCACTAATTACCTTATTTACTGTTCTGACTGTATTTTAGTGTGCTGTAACCTGTGCTGGGATGATCCATTTTATGAAGGGAGGGAGGGACATAAGTGAAATAAATGGGGCCCAATCTCCAGGCTGGTTTACAGTGGTGCCTCGCAAGACGAAATTAATTCATTCCGCGAGTTTTTTCGTCTAGCGAATTTTTCGTCTTGCGAAGCACGAAATCCCATAGGAATGCATTGAAATTCAATTAATGCGTTCCTATGGTCAAAAAAAGTCCAAACAAAGCCAAATTTGGTACAACAAGAGTTTATTAAGTGCTCTTTAAAGTCACACATACTGTAAAGAGCATTTCAAAAATTGAAGGAACAATAAATTAAGTTTCTAAACATGACAGAAAAACATTAAAAAATCAACAAAGTGTACAGTACATTTTTAAGACTCTGGGGACAACTCGAAGAAGGTTCCTCTTCCACTCTTTGCTTCTTGCTGAAGAACCCCTCCTCAACTGTTCCCCCAGCCACCCACCACACAGAAATTCAAATCCAGATTTTTTAAAAAACAGCAGAGTGGCCCAATGGTCACAGAAAATCATAAAAATGCAGAAAAAAACACACAAGCTTCCAGATTCTTGCAAACCCCTCCCCAACACCAAGTCCTTGAATTCCAAACACCCCAACCCAAAATCCAAAAACCCCCAAAAAGTTTTAAAAGTTTAAAAGAAGTTTTGGAAAAGCTTCAAAAATCACCAAAGTCTTCAAAAACCTCAAAACAGGCTACCACACCGCGTTCTATGAGTTGCTCCTCGAAGTCAAGTCGCAACTGTATTAACGGTGTTAAGAAAACGGAAACAAACTTGCAAGACGTTTTCGTTTTTCGTCTTGCGAAGCAAGCCCATAGGGAAATTCGTCTTGCGAAGCAGCTCAAAAAATGGAAAACCCTTTTGTCTAGCGAGTTTTTTGTCTTGCGAGGCATTCGTCTTGCGGGGCACCACTGTATTGTGAGCCAATCCCACCAAAATGAATAGAAGATATGCAAGAGTTTATTAGCATATCTCCAGTTAATTTCAGTGGGGCTGGCTCACAAAAGCGTACCCTCGGCACCAAATGAGTCTGTGTTCTCAAAGCTCCTAGCTGACCCTCAAAGTTGAGCTTTCTGGATTTGGCCAGAAGATCCTCAACCCAACCAACAGGCCTTGTGAATGGACTAATGAGGCCTTGTTTATTCCAATTTAATCTTCTTCCTCACAGTCTGGCTTGCTTTGCTCAGGCTTATTGTGTGTTCAAGTTTATGTAAGTGTTATGAAATGTCCACTTCCTGTTTTGTGACTACAGCTGCCTGCCAAGCATTATGCCAGTTTATGGTTCCACACCCTTTCACCCACTTGCTTTGATGAAAAGCCTCCCACTTCTCTTCCCAACCCCCTCCCAATGGGTTTAATGGACAACCCAACAGGAGGTGATACTTGGCGTAAGTGTAATAACCCAAACAGTCCCTTCTTTGATATAGGTGCCAGTGTCACCTGGCATGCCTAGAGTGCTTGAGACAGATCACAGGTGAAGTGGAACTGGCCCTGTGCAGCGCTGTGTTGTAAATTCAGTGGTGGAAATGACCAGAGGAGGGGGCTGAAAGCTTAACAGGAACAGAACAATAAACTCTGTGGGTGGCAGCATTTTGAAACAATTGCATGGAGCTTTTCTCTGCCTTCTCATAAAGGTTTGGGTAGGTCAGGGGTCTGCAACCTTTAAGACAAAAAGAGCCACTTGGACCCGTTTCCGAAGAAAAAAAAACTGGGAGCCACAAAACTTGTCATTATAAAAACAACTTTTTTGTCACTTTTTTTTATTATTTCTTTGTTTGACCCCTCAGAATTACTCCTCCGCATAGAAATAAACGTTAAATTAACAAGTTACCTTTTTGTGTGTGTGTGTTCTTCACTCTCCTTCAAAACAGTGACCAGCGTACATGCCCCTTACAATGCAGTGACCAGCGTACATGCCCCTTACAATGCAGCGGGCGGGCGGGCGGGAAGGGGACGTCGGGACGGTGCGTGACTAATGCACGCACCGCCCCCATGCGACGTCACAGCCAGTACAGCACCCGCCACAGTAGGGAGTGTCGGGGCGCACAATGCGCCTCCTCCCCTCGCTAGTATCCGCCCTGGAGCCGCGGCAAAGGTGTAAAAGCCACATGCGGCTCTGGAGCCGCGGGTTGCTGACCCCTGGGGTAGGTGATGCTGAAAAGGGCAGCTCAAATGTTGGAGATTTTCCTATTAGGGAAAACTAATGGATTTATTGGGGGGGGGAAACAAGATGGGGGTGGTGGTAGTAACAACAACAACAACAACATGCCGCCCATCTGAGAGGTTTGCCTCAGCCACTCTGGGTGGCTTCCAACAATTCAAACACAGAGAAAGGGGGTGTGGATTAATACCCCCCCACACACACCTCTGGTTCACTTAAAATTGATGAACAGGATGTTAAGCCAGTTACTACATTCTTTCCACAAGGTGTAAGTTAATTACTACAAACGTGTCTTTATGCCCAGCTTAGGGGCTTCCCCAAAACATCTGGGCATAAGTGGAAAAGAATGCTGGATGACAGAGACCTTTTGCTTGTGTTGCATGAGACTCTTCTTTTTGTTAGTCTCTTTAAATCAGTACAGTACAGAATGTATTTTTTAATTGGATTGGCACAAAACCCCTGTGCCTATAAATACGAGACTATTCCCCACACAGTTGAACCAACCTACAACAAAAGAAATGCACATAATTTTATAGAAAATGTTTTTATTATATAAAGGAAAATAGTTTACAAAGGCATAGAAAAATATATAAAAACAAATACATAAAGTGGAATGATGAAAACCAGTAGTACCTGCGGAATAATAGCAGCTAACAGATGCAGATAGCCCTGGATATGAAACAGTTCTTGTATTTTCAGACAGGTAATCAAGCATTGTTAGTTATTGTCTGATACCTGCATGATCACTCAAACTGCCTCACTGGAACGTGTTACCTTTCCCTGCTTTGCAGGCTTCACAGCCTCACCGTTGGCCAACAAAGTTTTCTCTCTTCAGCCTCTCGGGACTCTCCCCTCCACCACTCCCATCTAGCCTGATGAAGAGTTCGTGTGCAAGCTTCTGGGTTTTCAGGATTTAGTGACCTTTTGGTTGGCCTAATGTATTGTCTCAAGGACAGAGTTGGATGACAAAACTAATAGTTTAAAAAGTTGGCACCTTGGCTTGTCACTGAACGTAAGGCTTAAAACAACAAGAAACAACAAGCTGGTGAGGTGACTTTGTTCTATACCTGTCTATAAAAGTAGTAAAGGTAAAGGGACCCCTGACCATTAGGTCCAGTCGTGACCGACTCTGGGGTTGCGGCGCTCATCTCGTTTTATTGGCCGAGGGAGCTGGCGTACAGCTTCCGGGTCATGTGGCCAGCTTCTGGTGAACTAGAGCAGCACACGGAAACACCGTTTCCCTTCCCGCCGGAGCGGTACCTATTTATCTACTTGCACATGACGTGCTTTTGAACTGCTAGGTTGGCAGGAACAGGGACCGGGCAACGGGAGCTCACCCCATCATGGGGATTCGAACCGCCGACCTTCTGATCGGCAAGCCCTAGGCTCAGTGGTTTAGACCACAGTGCCACCCGTGTCCCCGTCTATAAAAATAGGCTGACAGAAATTTAGCAAATAATAATAATATAATAATAAATTTTATTTATATCCCGCCCTCCCCAGCCGAAGCTGGGCTCAGGGCGGCTAACAACAATAAATGTTTGGCCCATCATTTCTTTTATCAATAGGAAAAGGTTAACCTGCTGGTTTTCTGCATTTCAAACTTGTTAAAGGCACAAGAGCAGGGCCAGAAAAAACCTGGAAACCTGTAGCCACATTCATTGTCCACGTGGTTCTCTCATCCCTGCTCCCACCCCCTTTGCTCTCGACAAGGTGAATTAACCTTGCTATTTCCATGGTCTCTCCTGGGGCAAAATGGGTAGACTGATCTCAAATGAATAAAGCACAACAGAATCACCCCTGTGTTTCCTACTCGAATGATGAGGTCTTGGGCCTCTTTCTGGAATGGGAATTTCCCATTCCACGAAACAGCAGGAAAGACAGCAGGCTTCTCAGGGCTTCCTGTTCCTCTGCTGATATAATGGATTCTGCAAGGCTTCTCCAACCTGGTGCCCTCCAGACAACTCTACAGCCTCACCAGCCCCAGCCACCCCTTGGCTTGATGGGCATTGCACTACAAAACATCTGGAGAGCAGAAGGCTGCTTTATGCTCCTCCTACTGCCCATGTGACCCTGCCCCTTTTGGAATCTCCTAACCAGCTTCCCAACACTTTTGACTCCTATCATTTGTTCTGTTCATGATAGAGTTGTGTTTCTCCTGCTCCTTGAAGACTCCATCCATTTTGCCCTGTTTGGAGAGTATCTCTCTCAATGGACATAAACTTTGCACCTGCCTTGGCTTACCTACCATCTGCTTGTTCCTCTCTAACAGCCTAAAAGACAAACACTTTTTGCATGGCTGTGAGATAAGATTAAGGTGTGCATGAAAAGCAGTTTACAATGGCTTTGGTTAAACTGTAACACTGATACTGCTTGGGAGAGAAAATTACTGCTGAAATGGGTGGCTAATAAAGGGTATTCTTCACTTTGCTCCCAGCACAGTCTCCACTCCCACTTTGGATATTTTCAGCATCTGCTTGATCCCTCACTTCCTCCTTAACATGTTTCAGTCCTACTGTTGAATTTAGATGTCACTGTTCTAAATCTAGCACCATGGTTCTCTGCTTTTTAAAGGCAAAAGTGTCTTATTATGGAGAGTCATTTTTATACACCTCCCTCTCGGGCCATGGAGAGAGTGAGAAAGATCTCAGCAGCCCATCTTTTCTGCCACAGTGATCTCTTCCTTGTGCATCTCTCTTTAAAGTCAGCCTTTGTCTTCTCCACCTCGGCGGGTTCCCATCAAGATTTGAAATATTTCAGGAGCTTTGATAGTGCATACTTTTGTCACCACAGGGGCTGGCTATTCCTTGCTTATTCTGGCCAGACTTCTGGGCTCTCTCCTTCTGCCAAAACAGAGATGGGAATAATTTTCTTCACTTCCTGCCGGCACAATGGGCAGCGACTGGTGGTATGGAAAATTTTCAGGGAGCAGTGGGAGCAGAAGTTGGCATGAGAGCAAGGAAGCATCATGGTGTTGGCTTTTTGCCCGAAGCATACAGCACATTCCTCAGGAAAGGCATGGAAATCCCCACAGGTGGACTCTGTATTTCATACAAAAGACACGGAATAAGAAACATAGAAATGCTTCTTCAGCACACTCTTCTTCCTACTTATGCTATTTAACCACAAAGGGGGGGGGGGATGAGCAGGCTTTAATATGGACAAGTCGGTCAATTTTGGTTTCGCAAGCTTAGCTTCAGTTTGTCATGTTTCCACATCAGTTTGCAATTTTTTAAAAATAATAATGAGTCCTGAGAACTCACCAACTTTTCTCTCTGTACTAGATGAGCACCAGTAGGGGGTGATCAGAATGTCAGCAGCCAGAAATGAGCAGAAGAACAAGCTCTGCCTGCGCCTCTGCTCTGCCTGCTTGGCTCTCCCGCCACTGACTACCCTTTACCCAATGGGGGAGGGAATGGCACTCTGCACATGCCCATGGGAGCCTCTTTTTGTGCACAAGGAGCCTAGCCTAGCCAGGTAGGGAAGCAGCAGTAGCCTTTGGACTTATCACATGCTATTTGTGTTCTCTGAGGATGGAGGGAATGTTGCTAGAGAGACAAAGTTTTGACAGTACTTTGCCTCGCTTGCACTCACTGTCCACACTGCTATCTTGTTTTCAGCTGCATTTATTAATAATAATTAATTTGTTCCTGATTCAGCTACTGGACTGGAGTGAGTGAGTCCAGGGGGAGCTGGTGGGGGTTGGTGAGTGGCTTGTGCATTTTAAACACTTTTTTGGAGGTTGGAGACCAGCACAAATTTTGAAGGGTAGCTGTGCACTGACTCCCCTGTTGTTTCAGGAAGTGTGAATTGGGTAGATTTACGATAAACTGTGAACTGAACAGAATTTATCCTCCACCCGTAGTTGGCTCATCCCAATGTCTTTATATGATTGAGCACTGGTTTTTAACCAGTGTGCTGTGGCACCCTGGGGTGACTTGAGAAATGTTGAGGGGAGCCCTGAGGGACCACCCCTTCATTAGCTTGCAGTCTATATCTCTCTGCCTTTCTCTGAGGAACATTCAGAGGAGCAGACAGCTTTAACTTGCAGCCCATTTTCTTCCCAAAATAAGACAGCAGTAAGAAAGTGGGGAAACACTTTTTCTTAATATCTCCCCCCCACACAGACAAACAAAACCCCTTCCCGGCTGAATAACTAACAGTTCCTTAGTTTTACACAGGGGGCTTGAAAAATGCAAGAAAATAGCAAAGTAACATTATGGTTTGTGTTCCTAGACACGTGCGTGCTCTGTAAGGAGGGATTCAAAAATAACCCTGAAAGTGAGGAGTGTCTTCTGTGTTTCCCTGTCCTGCTTCCCCCAACATCCTGCCCCCCTCTTCTTCTCCACCTCACCCCCCAGCCAACCCCCCTGATCTTTAACAGTCATCCAGCTTTATGGGGACAGGGAGAATGTGTCAGGGAAGGACCATGTCTGCATGTGTGCTATTCCTTCCCTGCAATAACATAGTATTTCTACTTTGGATCTTAATCTCATTTTCCCTCTCCACTCCCCACCACACCATGTGTGCGCTGATTTGGGGGAAGGTAGGCTGTGGCTGCCACATGGAGTGCGTCAGCTCGGCCCTGCAGAGCAGTGCGCTCCCACTTACAAGGACGACAAAAAGGGCGCTGACAAGGGGCAGGGCGGAATGGGCAAATTCCCACTTATGCACACCCTGTAACGGAACCCCAGTGAATATGGTTGGTTAAGGGAGCTGTGGACTCAAAAAGGTTGAAAACCACTGTGACAGGGAGTTCCAAAGGTGGCCTCTGCAGGGTCTGTGCCCTTGTGAGAGAAAAACAAAAATGTATGGTGTCTTTTTGTTGTATCTATTTTGTCAGTTAGATGTTTAATGGTCAGTGGACCAATAAGACAAAATACAAAGTATAAAATACAAAATTACAGCTCCATTGAAGCCAGTTTTTTTCAAAACAAAAAACAAAACAATAAAAGTGAAATTTGCACTGGGTAGTGAAGTGCCCTGGGAGAGCTTGTTTCTGGGATGGTTTCCTGGGCTAAAAGAAAATAATGAGAGGAAATTGAGGGCAACTCGCAGCTTTTCCAGATACTCACCACTCTGTTGAAGAAGGCTGAGCCCATCAGCATTGGTTGGTAGGCTGGAGGGACCTGGAAGGGAACGAGAGAGACTTTAGGATGCTGCCTCTCAAGTGCAGCCTTCACCCATCAACAGCCCTGCCTTCTTGCCAGGCCACACCACACACCATGCTCAAGGGCTTTCCCCAGCTGGAAAGCATATTTCAACAGCGATAATGGGTGGAGAGAAGGGTGGGTAGAGAAATCTTTTGTATGGCTGAGATGTAGGCTGCTGCATGGAAACAGTCACAACTATTACCCCACCCACTTTTTGCTTCTGGTCCAACTCATTACCAGCCTGTGGTCCCCAGAAGGCTGCCTGTGAGGGAATGTGGCCCTCATGCTGAACAAGATTCCCCCACCCCTGAGTTTAGATGCTTCAGTTGCTTACCCAAAAGCTGGACTGCCTTGGTCCTTCCATAGATGTCCACAACAGCCCAGAGAGGCCTTGTGACCAAGACGCCATCTGCCAACAGGAAACCTTCTGACTTCTCATTGGTGCTGCAGAAAACAGAACCTTGGTTGTCCACCCAGAAGCTGACAATGGTGCCTTCTGCTTCATATTCTTCTGGTACGACAGCTGCACGACACTTCCCTTGCTTTACCAGGTCTGGGCAAGAATACGGAGGCAGCACACTGGGCTCAACGAGGGACGGATCCTCCCAAGTGAAGCCCACCCTTAGGCCTCCACACCACCTGCTCTCTTCCTTTAAGATTTTCAAAGTCACCTTCTCATAAAGTTCAATAGGCCGGCTGGAGAAGACAATGCCGTTGCAGAACGTGGCTGCTCTGCTCGCTATGCAGTGGGACTCGTCCATGATGACCTGGGAGCCTTTGAGGTAAGGGTGGAAAAAGAGGGGATCACTGGGAGGCTGGCTTGCGCCATCTGGACCTGTGGGAGACATAAGTGTTATGTACTGAAGTTCTCACCCTGGGTCAGCAGGGGGATACTGTAGATAGTTCAGGTCCACATATGCAAATAAGGGATCGAAGGTGACGTTCAGTGATTGGATAGTTACAGAAAATGGTTACTGTTGCGTTCTAGTGGAGCTCTATATAAGCAGGCTGGCTGAACCCTTCAGTTCAGTTCTGTTCTGGCCTGTGAATAAACAAGAGCTGTTTGAAGAATCGCTGTGTCGTCTGATATGTTCACCCACAACTTAACAATAAGAGACACCATGATGAATAAAATTATACGGGTGCATGCTACAGTTTAGCATGCACTTTCCTTGCAAAAGGTCTCATGGCGTCATTAACAGGAATTCTGAGAAGCGCCGCTCATCTCCACAGTCATCATGGCAGGATTCTCAGGAAGTGGAATTCTGTGCCCAATGCTACATACACACTGTGCTTTTAATAATGACACCCATGTTCTGCTCTGACTTTATCTACCGCAAAGAAGCAGGCTTAGCATGTGGCTCAAGATCCCGCAAAATATGAGACCACCACTAGGTGTCACAAGATGTGCAGAGGCCACAAACAGATCTGGTTGGGTTTGCTTTCCATTTATCATACTGTAGTAACATCTCCTGCGTAGGAAACTGAAACCCCTCAGGCTACAAGAGGCAACAGTTCTTCTAATGACTGACCCATAGGCAGGTTTGTGGTTTTTTGTTTAAGCAACTAGAAATATCATTTGCAAAAATAACTTCCCTATAGACGCTGAAGTTTTACATCAGGTATATATAGAACATAAATACTCCAGTTTATTAAACTGGATTCAGCTATGCCAAAATATATCAAGTACAAAAAGTTGATCAATTATATGCTACTATAGGACAACTGGACTCCAAATGTCTCAGGTTAATGTTAATGCATTTAATTCACAGGCACTGGTAAACTGTGTGCAGTGGCGTAGCTGGGGGGCGGTGGCCCTGGGTGCAAAATCCTGAGAGGGGCACAACCAGGCACCCCCACAACTGGCTCCCAGCTGAACTCCTGCCGCCTATCGTGGTACAGAAATATTTTGTATAGATAAATAAGCTCCAAGCTTAGATAGCAACTTTGTCAGTGCTATTTTTTTTTAAGAAAAAGAGGTGCTGGAACTCACTATGGAACACCTCCCTTGTTCCGTTATAATGGCAATGGCGCTCACCTGAGAGGTGCCGGAACTGAGTTCTGGCATGTTCTGACTGAAAAAAGGCCCTGAACTTTGTATACCCCTAAAATCATGTAGGCATAAAGTCCATTTCATGATCATCTGGCCTCATCCGATGAGCCTATGCTTGCCTCCTCACACATAAAATCCATTCAACCAGTTTAGAGTGAAGTTTCATTGATCCTGCCACCATTGCTCTGCCTAACCACCTCCATGAGGGTGGTTTGCTTTTGTGTGTCTGTGTGTTTCTGTGTGTGAGAGCTAAACTGTATGTGAAAATGGGCTACAGTTTACAAAGAAAACAGCTTCTCTTTCATTCCCTGATCCCGGATGTCATTTGAGCAGTTGGCGGTTACTGTTATCAGAGCATCATGGCCACAATCCTTTATTGTTCTGAGAGGGGTCACTGGGTGCACTGAAATGACAGGTTGCAGAGGGACAGAAGGAGAAATCCTGAACCTTGAAGAAAAATATTTCTGCATATTGCCTTTTCCTTAGACAATCTATAATTGTTTTCTGACTCTTTCTCTTTAAATGATCTTAGGTGTTTGACATTCAGTAGATTGTTATATGTGGCCAGTGATCTGTGAATAAATTAACACAGTAATGTTTTATTTACATGTGCGGTAAATTCACTTGTTATCATCTTGGAGAGCCAGAGTGGAGCTGGTAAAAATATTTCTTTAAAAGAAAACTAAAAGTTGAGCAGGGTTCAAATTCCCGCTTAATCATGAAGCAAGCTGGATGAATGTGGCTCAGGCACCATCTCTCAGGCCAATCCGCCTCATGGGATTGCGGAGGGGAAAATGGAGAGGGCGAGGGTGAGCCGCCTTGAGCTCTCTGAGGAAATGCTTTGTGCATGTCACTCTGTCTATGCTTTGTGGTTTGGAAAAGATTTCTGGGGTGTTACTTTGTCTGGGTGAAAATGTAAAAGTTTGAGACCTTGTGCTATTACTGGGTTGCAGGCCTGTTTCACAGGTGGGGAGAGGAGATTATTGCTTTTTTAATATTTATAGGAGACTGGGTTAAGAAAATTCATCTTTATTGGTCTGTGAAACAATGGACTCTGTTTGGCTGCCAGTTGGAAATGTCAGTTGGGAGTTAACTGTTGGGAGACCACAGAAAACTGGGGTGAAAATGGATAGATGAGACCTGAGTATTAAGCAAATTCATCCTTAGTGGGTTAACGTTTTGCTGGTGAAGATCAGAAGGGAGCCAGTAGCTCCCTATCTAAGGAGGGCTTACCAGAACAGCCTGGGCAAGCAGGTTTCTAAAATCAACTAAACTGTCCAAGCAGCCAGAAGTATAACCCGAGGAGCTTTGGGGGTCAGAGGCAGATTACACCCAGTAGTTGGGCTGGCTTGTGAGTGAATTTGGCTGAGGTGGAGGCTTAGCAACTTTGGCCAGAGGTTAAAGCTTCTTAGAGGCTGCTGTCAGCTATGGTGTCTCTTGCAACCTCAGAAACTGACAGCAAGCACATATAAAAGTCCAAAGTAGATATCAGTATCCTCTTCATGTATAAAATATCCATTTACCAACAGTCTTAAACAACAGCTCATTCTGTATCCAGCTCATGCATAAAATCTCCCATATAGCACACTACCAGGAGGTTTTTAAAGCCCAAAGCACCAATTTATTCATCTTTTCCTTAAATCACTGTGCCCCGTAAAAATTAGCAAAGTTAACACTATAATTAGTTAACCAAAACGAACCATAAATTGGTGGTGAATAAGAAACAGCCAATCACGTATGTACTGCTCTCAATCACGACACCTGGCTTGAGAGCAGTACATGTGAAAAGGATCTAGGAGTCTTGGTTGACCACAAACTTGACATGAGCCAACAGTGTGACGCGGCAGCTAAAAAAGCCAATGCAATTCTGGGCTGCATCAATAGGAGTATAGCATCTAGATCAAGGGAAGTAATAGTGCCACTGTATTCTGCTCTGGTCAGACCTCACCTGGAGTACTGTGTCCAGTTCTGGGCACCACAGTTCAAGAAGGACACTGACAAACTGGAACGTGTCCAGAGGAGGGCAACCAAAATGGTCAAAGGCCTGGAAACGATGCCTTATGAGGAACGACTAAGAGAGCTGGGCATGTTTAGCCTGGAGAAGAGGAGGTTAAGGGGTGATATGATAGCCATGTTCAAATATATAAAAGGATGTCACATAGAGGAGGGAGAAAGGTTGTTTTCTGCTGCTCCAGAGAAGCGGACACGGAGCAATGGATCGAAACTACAAGAAAGAAGATTCCACCTAAACATTAGGAAGAACTTCCTGACAGTAAGAGCTGTTCGACAGTGGAATTTGCTGCCAAGGAGTGTGGTGGAGTCTCCTTCTTTGGAGGTCTTTAAGCAGAGGCTTGACAACCATATGTCAGGAGTGCTCTGATGGTGTTTCCTGCTTGGCAGGGGGTTGGACTCGATGGCCCTTGTGGTCTCTTCCAACTCTATGATTCTATGAAAATGCCTGGGAAAAGGCTGTAGTGCTGGTGCCCAGTGGGGGGGTCTTGCCGGGGAGCCTCCTGCTGGGGCCACCAAGAACCCACATGATATGCCTAAAGTAAGGTCCAAACAAGAGGCTTCCCAGCTCAAAGCCCCTGCTCTCCATTAGAAGAACACTCTGCTACACTAGACTCAAAGAACATTCATGATTAAGTTCTTATCATGAGTTTCAGTGAGAAAATAAATGTGGTCTTGGAGACCATTCAAAGTAGAAATTTTGGCAGAGGAGCAATGAATGGCATGCTTTGTTCACTATTGACTTTTGGAGAATTTTTATCATACAACAACCTCCAAAACCACCCACACACCATCCCCATAAACATTTAATATATGTTGATTGAGAGAGGAAAAATGATGTATAAAAAATTTCACTGGATGCCAAGATTCAGGTTTCAGGGTGAGAGAACCCCAGTAGACACAAAACCTGCAGCGAAGTAAAGCGTGGAAATATAAGCTGTTAGACCTTTAAAATATTCCTTCCCAAGTTCCCTCTTCGACTTAACATAGAAAAAGACCAGACATTTGGTAAGTTTAAAATGGCTTATTTACAAACTCTTCAAAGGTCAGTTTCATGTGCTTTTCCATACAGCATTAAGAAATCACAGGCAGCAAAACTTAGGTTAGTTTCAAAGTGGTGAAAATTTGCAAAAAGGGCTCGGAGCAGCCAGCTCAGATGTCTTTACATAATGGAGTACACATGATTGACTGATTATTTAATTCCTTTACCACTTAATATATTTAAATGATCTCTAAGCAGTGTACAGAAAACTGAAGCAACAACAGACAATTTAAACAAAATATTACAAAATATTAAAGCATAGTTGCTAATATATATAAACCAACATCAATTTTTAAAAAAACACTGTAGTTCAGTGGCTGCCACCACATCTTGTGGCAGTGAATTCCATACATTAATTCCTCAGTGCTGAGGGAGATGCGCACAGTGATGCGTACATTCAGAGGCACACTTGTTCTTTTGAACATTTTCCTTATAACTGCGCCCTGGAAAGGAAAAAATTTTCCAGAGCTCTTCCCTGACACAGATCCTGACCTCAGCCATAGCCTTTGAGCATAATGAGCAGCAAGGGCTGCGGGAGAGTTCTTCAGTTATGCTCGCTGTGAAACCAGTCCCAGACCTGATGGGTCCTCCATCACCTGACTCTGCAGCGCAGGGGACCTTGACCCACCAGAAGCACCTTTGCATTTTCACCCAGGGCCCTTCCTCAAAACCCCCAGCCAGTTCTTACCCTCCAAGGGGCGAAGGCAGGCACCCATCACTGCCAGGAAGCTGCTGTTCCTCAGGCTGAAGACTTTGGTGCTGCTCGCTGGGTGATGGGCTGGAGTTTATGTTGCCATGCCAGAGACGCGAGCTGTTCTTACTGAGCTGCCTGGGGCACTCCCAGGAGTTAAACATTAATCATGGAAGTGTGGGGCTTGTGTGCGGTTTCCCTTCACATTATCACAAGATGCACTTTGCTTTGTGCTAGGGGGATTTCCAGTATATTGTGTGTGCGGACGTAACTGGAGCCAGGGCCACACCCCCAGGACCACATCCCTGACTTCAGAGTCCTGGCTTCCAGCCCAAGCTAGCAAGACTCCACCCTTTCCTCTTTCCTGTTGACCCAATCCATTTACTTTGCACTGTTTCAGTGTACTTGCTAGCTTCCATTGTCAAATCTTAATATTACTTAGCATTCGTATAAAGCTGTGGGCAAATATGACAATTTCGGTTTCTCTTAGTTTCTCATTTTTCCAGTATGAAATTCAGTTCTCCACATTTCCACATAAGATTTTTTTTTAAAAAAGTCTTTATGACAATTCATCAGCATTTTAGTGCAAATTTCTCTAAATATGCTTCTGTGCAGAACATGTTTCTATGCAATTTTCACAAATATATACATTTTTGAAAGCAATTTCCCCATATAAAATGCACTTATGCATGTTATCTCTTCTCAATACAGGTGTTTTTATGTTCTCTTTACCATTGTGTTTGCATTTGTGTACACGTTACTTGGCTGCAGAACTGCATTGAAAAAATTGAAGACGTGATTTTGAAAAGATGGCTTTGTTTTCTTACATGTTGGCCCATGCAGACCTTGCCTGAGACCTATGGCAGGAGTCCCTGGTCAACTGGGAGGCATGGGACAGGACAGCCAATTCTGGCCGGTCCCTGGGGCCCCTGGCCAGCTTAGCACTCCGAGATCTGGGGCAAGTGTATCCGGCTGCCCTCCCTGCACAGGCCTGGCTGGGCTCATGTACTAAAGGCATACGGACATCAGGAGAGCCCTCTGGATCAGGACAGGGAGGCCTCTAGGGATATATAAAAGAAATAATTTTATAATTTGTGTGTCCTAGTTTCTCAATTTCATCCTTTTATATGGTTTTGCATATTTTTTGGTTGTAATTGATTCTTTAATTCTTTATTGTAATTGATAAGTGTAAACTGTTTCATTATTATGACTTTTCATTCTACTCTTTACTATTAGATTCTAATGGATTATTGAATAGTCCTTTAAGTTGTTTATTTTAAAGTTATTGTGACTTTTTTATATTGGATCAGATTCTTGCTATTAATGTTTTATGTTTTATTGTGTTTTTATCTGTGTTGGAAGCCACCCAGAGTGGCTGGTGTAACCCAGCTTAGTTTATGAACAACTTGGAATAAGAATGCTGCAAACCCGGAAGAAGGTGTTTTGGTTTGCGAACTTTGCCTGGGAAGCTTCCTGTTAAGTGTGTTCCATTTGTAAACTGAATCCCCTGCTGCTAATCAGAGGCTTCCTGTTGAGTCTGTCGGCTGTTGAGTCCCGAGCACCCATGCAACACTTGTTGTTGTTGTTTAGTTGTTTAGTCGTGTTCGACTCTTCGTGACCCCATGGACCCAGTTCAGCTACTGGTTGATTGATTGTGTGACTGCAGAAATGGATAAAAGCCCCCCATCCAAACAATGACTATCATCAGTGCATGTAAGAAAAAATAATAATTTTAATTTGTGTCATCTATAATACTGTATTTTTTATTTTATAGTACAGTACATTGATTATTGCATTCATTTTATGGATCAATGGTCTCATTAGATGGTAAAATTCATATTAAATTGCCGTTTCAGGGGTTGTTTTTCATCGTCTGGAACGGATTAATCCATTATCCATTTCTTTCTATGGGAAAGCACACCTTGGTTTAAGAATGGACTTCTGGAACGAATTAAGTTCGTAAACCAAGGTACCACTATATTGTATTGTATTGTATTGGTCCAGCATTCTGTTCTTGCAGTGGCCAACCAGATGCCCATGGGAGCAAAGGAGCCCCTGTGGTGTCCAGCAACTGGAATTCAGAGGCCTACTGCTTCCCACAATGGAGTCAGAGTGCAGCCATTGGTGGCTAATAGCCATTAATAGCCCTCTCTCCAAAAATTTGCTTAATCCTCTTTTAAAGCCATTTGAGTTGGTGGCATTACTGCCTCCTGTGGGAGGGAGTTCCACAGTTCAACTCTGTGCTACGTGAAGGAAGACTGTTTTGGAAACTGTGAATTTGGTAGGTTCACCTTGAAATGTGAATTGAATTGACTCTGCCCACCCCATCCCTATTCATACATGTTGCTTTAGGCCGGAGGGGGCTAACTTTTGATCCTTCAGATGTTACTGGGTTCCATGACTAATGGCTGAGGATGCTGGGAAACATGGTCCAACAACCACTGAAGGGCCAAAGCTTCTGCACACACTTTGCTTACAAAGTGCTTACAGAGTGCTGAGTCCCTAGCCACCTATCCCATTAATTGGCCGACAGATAAATACTTGTAATTTAAAGATACATATGTTAGCAAATGCACACTGTGCCCCAAGTCCTTTTGGAATCTAGTGGTGCCTCTTGGTGGTTATACATTCGATTCGTGTGTGCTCACCAGTCAACTATAACAGTTTCTGTTTCTTTACATCTGTTGTGCAATGTCTCAATGAGTCGGGTTGCTTCTCTTTATGAGAAATAGCAACATCTCAGAGACATGCAGTAACACTTACAGTCTGTAATTATAGTTACGGGAGAGTTCAAAAAGATAGTCACGCACACGGTAGATGCATGCTCTGTAAAATGAAACTGGATCCTGACCTGCCCACCTGCAGTTCAGTCACTGGCTCTCTAACAACGTATTTAAAAGCATCTCTTACACACTGCAAATTGCGGAATATATGTTTGATCGTGTTTTTACTATTCTCCTGGGAGCCGTCCAGAGTGGTGGGGAAAACCCAGCCAGATGGGCAGGGTATAAATAATAAAATTATTGTTGTTGTTACCAGGGCTAAATCAGCTTTCCCCCAAGCTGTTGCCTTCTGGGTGGTTTGGTCTATGACTCCCAACATCCCTGACCATTGGATATATAGCTGGGGTTGTCAGGAGTTGTTGTTGTTCAAAACCAGCTTGGCAAAAGCAGGTGCACACTTTTTTTTTTTAGAGCTCAAACATACATAGGTCCCTTTGCGCTTTGGCAAGGAACTCTGTTGGCGTCCCCTCCCCTGAAAAAAAATGCCACGTGCGAGAAGGAAAGGGGCTGGTTTCACCAATCCCTCGGAACGCCTCTGCTCTCAAATAAGTCTTCTTCCATGGGTTTTGCTAGTGGGATTAGGATTACAGCCTAAATAGATTTTCTGTCTCCCAAGTGCAGTTAGATTTAGAGCTTGAAAACCTCCCTGGAAAACAGGCATGATTGCAGCAGGCACAGCACAAGATTTGGCCAATATATTGCCAGTGATTCTGGTTATTAATATATTTCACCCCCCAGTCAGTGATGCCATTTTGAAGTTTTGTTTTGGAAACTGGCCTGACTTGTGCTGCTCATGCCATATCTGTTGGATTGGATCCCTCCACCTCTAACTGCATTTCCAGGAATACAGCCGGTTTCTCCTGAGTGAATCAGTCAGCATTCTTTAGATAGAAAATGAAACTGATAATAGTCATTTGCTCTCAGTGACCAGAGTTCTCATTGGAAACTGGAAACTGAACCTGCACTTAGCAGAAATAAATGGCTTTTGAGAAAGGCAGCCCTACTGACCCCCCCACCAATTTTCACAGATTGCAACTAAAATAGCTGTTGCGTCCACCTCCTCCTCTGACAGTTGCAACAATTCTTCCTCAGGTGTCAACCCAGAGCCCTTGGGGGGGGGGGTCCTCAACATTGGATTCAGAGGGGCCTCCCTGATGCACCAGACACTAGAAATACCTTTGAAGAGCAGCACATTATTAGATTAGTGTGATTATGGTGTCCCCCCCCCCATACAAGGCAATTGATGCCTTTTGGATTTCACCCCAAAACTACAGGAATGCAGTTGGTGGCACATCATTTTAGTCTGAAAGTGACTGTTCTCTCCCCCAGCAGCATCCCAAAATAAACTGCCTTGCTCTTGAGAGAATCCAGGGAGATGGATTCTCGTTCTCCATGTCTTGCACAAATAAAAGCAGCTACATCTCCCCCTGGTTTTGACTGATTGCAGCTACAGCAGCTGATGTGCCCTTTTCCTCATACAGGATGTCAAAGAGCTTGATTTAGAACAGCAGTGGGGAGCCCTTTCCAGCCCAAGGGCCACATTCCTTTCTGAGCAACCTTTGGGGGGCCACATGTCAGTGGTGAGTGGAGCCGGATGCAGCCTTGGGCAATGCAATCATCCCTCTCTATTCTAGGGATTCTATCTCCAAAAGTGAAAATCAGGACTGAGTTGTTGAGCTTTTTTTGGGGGGGGGGGAACCAAACTTATTAAGCTTTTTATAGTAAAATAACAATAACTTTTTAGTTTTGGAGCTTTTAGAAGGCATTTTCGGTACAATTTAACCTTGGTTGCTGCTTCAAAAATTCAGGATGCCATTTTCAAAGGTGAATTCCAGGACATGTCGTGGAAAATCTGGGTGTATGGCAGCCCTACTTTATTCTTCATCCAGGCATCATCATCATCATCATCATCATCATTTATTACTTATACCCCGCCCATCTGGCTGGGTTTCCCCAGCCACTCTGGGTGGCTTCCAGCAGGAGATTAAAAATACATTAAGGCAAGCAAGAGTCATAGAGTTCTAAGACATTCAGGGGTTCGGCCTGCTACTAGTCTTAATGGCAGGTTGGTCCTAAGTCTCTGCATGTAAATAGGGAGCAAGATTTAAAAGGATTTACTGTAAAATTATATTTTTGAGTTGGGGATACAGCCCAGACTCCGGGAAGTGCAGCCGAAAGTCCTAGACCAGGCATGGCCAAACTTGGCCCTCCAGCTGTTTTGGGACTACAACTCCCATCATCCCTAGCTAACAGGACCAGTGGTCAGGGATGATGGGAATTGCAGTCCCCAAACAGCTGGAGGGCCAAGTTTGGCCATGCCTGCCCTAGACTATCAGGAGACAAAGCAACCA